AATTGCAGACTGTGCAACCTATGTGTGTTTACGCGACGGCCACGGGTGTCGATTTATATTCTATTGGTGGGCCACTACCCCCCCCCCCCCCCCCCTCCCTCTCCCTCCCATGTCCAGTTGCTCCACCACGACCAGCTTGCTTTCTGAAGCACAAGTATTAGCAAGGCATTAAAAATGGCAGCTCGAAATTACATCACTTTTAAAGGAGCGTTTCCACCACTTATTTGTAACAGGAATAAAGGAAGTGCAAATTACGATATCATGTTCAGTTGAGCGCAGCTGCCCCAACTAACCACCCTTTTATAGCTTCACGGCCGTACGCTGTTTACTTCAGTATCTTCTGTTCTTCCTGCATGTTTCACGTTTTCATTTACACGATTGACATGAGTTGTTGACTCTGGCCCAGCTTCATGCAGCTGCCTGAGTGTTTATGGATTGTTCAGCAATGTTTCAGGTTTTACAGACGGCAGCAAGTTGCATTAGTTTGCCAAGTCGTCTTGTAGGAAATTGAAAAACAAACCGGTCGAATATCAACACCCAAAAATGTGACCAAGTTATTTGCCGTTTTCGTGCGACAGAACCCCTGAAGTGTGCCCACCTTCACTTCGATGTGAATATTTGATGGAACAGTTGCACTGACGAAAACCTGACGATCAACACCAGCCGCTTTAACCGATATCGGTAATCGTCCGACAATGATCGCCAAAACAACACCAGTCGTGTCGAGCATGCCTAAGGCGGGTGCTGCGCAGTAACCCCACTCTCCCTTGCAGCTACCAGCCGGAAGTTGCCATGACATGCTTTAATAGTTACGTACACCAACTTACACACTTTCTCTAAAAGCCATACACGTCCGACAAACAATGTCTGAAGCAAAATAACAGCAACCATACGCCGATTACCGAAACCTGGTTTCGACGACAAATGCCAAACAAGACGACTAAGATGCCTTTATGTGTATATATATATATATATATATATATATGTATATATACATATATATATATATATATATATATATATATATATATACATACATATATATATATATGTATATATACATATATATATATATATATATATATATATATATATATATACATATAATATTAAATTATATCTTACATTATATTATGCATATTTAGATCTTTTAGAGCATGTAAAATCTTGTTTTAGGTTATGGAGGATTATATTTTTCTCTCTCAGACGCCCCCCCCCCTCCCCTCCAATCCTGTCTTGCGAAACACGCCTCTGTGGTGGAGGCTCAAGGACCGTGACATGCGACGGATTTGTCACCAGATTACTCCAGTGTCAGCTCTTGGAGAGAGCCCATTTCCCAGCAGGAATAAGACCGGAGCCCACGATTTGCACTGATCGGACCCCTGAGTCAATGAAGAGCCCTCTGTCTCGGCAAATGACCCTACACCGCCTAACAATGGTTCTATTTTTACAAGGGACCCAAATGCTTGATTGAGGCGCACGGAAGGCGATCTGTAGGTTACGTTAAGGACCCCGACCCCCAAGGACGAGCCGTCAAACACCAAACAATTGGCTCCGTGTCGGCTGAGCCCCGGGAACCCACCTCCCAAGCAGGGGCAAGGTCAGCACCCGCGATTAGCATTCGCCGGGAGTTCGGGACCCCTGGCACAACGAGGGTCCATTTGTCAGCCAGGGGCCAACAGTGCCTAACGGAGGGTTCTGTGTCGGCTAGGAGCCCCGATTCGGCCCAGGGAACGTTTGCTGAACAGGGCCAAGGACGGGGCCCCGAATGCCAGAGGACCTCTCACGTTGATTGGGCCGTCTGACAATGAAGGGAGGTATGAGACCTTTGATGAGAATAACCAATGAGACGATGAAAAGACCCTATGTCAGTCAAAGCTCCCAGTACCACATAGGCTCTCCACCCCAATTCAGCCAAGGGCACGTTGCGTCGAATTGGAGACTGTGCTGATTATGTGACCACCTGCGGCGATGAGGCGTCTTGTTGCGTCAATGAAGGCTCTCGTGCCGATCTGAGGCCAGGTGCTCGTGTCAGGCGACCTTCGCCATCAGCCAGGTGATTAGAGGAACTCTAAGGTCCTCAATGATTGGTCCCTCTGAGGGCTTCCGTATAGATCAGAGGACACAACCTCTGTATCGTTGGCATGACAACCGGCAGGCACACGCACTCTAACGCAATGGCCGTTTAGTCTCTGACTGGAAAATAGAATGCCCCCCCCCCTCCCCCTCCCCCTCCCAGTGTTCTACCCACTGGGCTTATTGCTCGAAGAGGCTAAAGGGGTTTCGGTAGTGCTCAATAGGGCAGATAAAGATGAGGTAAAATGTGGCAGGAGGCCACCACAAACGAGTACGAATAAGGAAGGACACCAATGGCCGGGGTTGCAGTTTTCACCGAAACAAGCGGCGTTGGCTGCTGCAGTTAAAGGGAGTGTCCCACCTTCGGGGCATATTGAAAAAGACATACTCTGGTGAAACCTCAGAAGTAATTATATCTAATTACAACACTGGGTAATGCCATTGCAGCACCGCCAACTGGTAATACCGATATCAATTTCAATTTTTCCTAGCCCAAATTACGCTGTCCCCGCTTTGTACTAGCACTACCGAGTACTACTACGCTTGTTTCCTACAGTCGCGACCACCGTCTTGGCAATGACCGTGCGCACCACTACTGGTGCGAATACAAGAGCGCCTGTGATTGGCCCAGCAGGCGAGGGCCTGATATCGGGAAGTTGGTTGAAGTGTGAACCGGTGCGTCACATGGATCATGTCATTCTCCCATTCCCAAGCAGAAGTGCGCCTTGAAAAGAAACACTGGAAAACGCCCCAGGGCTAATTTAACGCCATAGTATAACATTTCGTTGGGTTCACGGAATAATGACTTCATGTTCGCATATCTTGTTATCTAAACAGAGAGTGTTTCAAACTTTCGTAGCATTCATTACACAAATATTCTGACGTATTATTGAGTTGAAAACATTACAAATACAGAACATACCTATACGTTAGAAAAGCAAGGCGAATGAAATGTATTGGTTTCGGTTGGTGAGCAAAGAGCCAAAGGAGTTTTCTCCCCGAGGGTCGACTACTTCAAATCAAAATTCTGAGCTACATTCAAAGGATTTCAAGAAAATTGGCATCGCCGATCAAATCGTATACGTCTGATGTAACAGTAAGTGAAAAGCGCAAAAAGGGGGCATGCTCCCTAACAGCACCGTTGCTGTGGTGACTGGGCATGTGTGAATTAGTGAACGCTCCGAGTGGGCCGGGTCATGTTCCCACCCCTAATCCTTGCACGCCTGGCCATGTTCATTTTTCAGAGCGAACGAACAAAAGATATTGACGATGAGCTGGACTTTCTGACGCGAGCTCAACTTTCGCTAAAAATGGATGTGACAAATTGCTGGCTGGTAATGGACACTGACGTAACACACCACGGACAAAGGTGTACTAATGGCTGTATTGTCTCGTTCCGCTGACCGGCAAACTATGCCGGCGCTCGCCGAACCGACACCAAAAACCATTACGCTCAGCCATCGCAACATGTATGGGCTCAAGGTTTGCTTTGCGTGGCACTTAGCTAATTGCACAGGCGTATATTATCATGTCATCAGCCAAATTCCAATCAAATGAATTAAACTCGTGGATTTTCGTCTTCAGCGTCTTACTGATGACAAAGGGTGTCTATGTGGCACGGGCCCAGAGGAAGATGTACCCAAGGTGCGTATAGTGTTCTGGCTTTTTCCACAGCAAAAGTGCATTCAAATGCACCTTACTGAAAAAAACAAGACAATGTTGGTAGCCTCAGTGATTTTTACGGAGCAAGGCACCATGCTACACGTAAATAATGTGACAGACGAGGAAAGGAAGCAATTGTATAGCTTTTCATACAAAACAAACAGCAAGTGCGTCTTGACGCTTCAGCTTCAACCGCTTCTCTTTTTCGCAGACAGGATGTGACGGTGCTGGATGAAATGCTATACGCAACCGTGCGATCCGGGGTGTATTCCCTTCGCATTGGGGAGGGGGGGGGGGTCCTCCGCCTTTACTCCAGGTCCCCAACTTTAGAAGCCAGGGGTCCGAATTCGGTGAAAAACCAGCTTCCTGGCGGATTCTGGTGACACTTGTGTCACTTTTCACTGCTCAGCACTCCGCTTATTTGACGAAACCATGTCGACGCGTGCGGTCAGCTCGGGGCTTTCTAGCCGAACCCCTCGGTCTACCTTGTCCCTTGGTCCAACTGCGCTCCAGCTTTAAGTCAATATTTCAACGCATAAAAACATGTGCATGTCCATCACTAGTTCTTCCGTTCTAATCCTCTGTCGGCGCTATGAGAGTGATGCCTGTCTATCTGCTTCATTTCGATTCTGTTGAACTGTTGGATCACTCATCCTGAATCCACAATACCTATCTTGAGTGTTTCTTTTAATTTACCCTTAATGTGCCACAGCAAGCATGATGCCATTCAGTCACCTCTAGATCCGCAGTGAACCTTTAGGTACCTGGTCTCCTCTATCCCGAACCCATTCTGACTATGTCATGTGCCCAGTTCATGTCACTTTGGAATATTCGTAGCGATCTTGTTGCACGCGTAATTCCATTAATCGTGCACCTCTCATTGATCCTGTTGAGCTTATAGCTGCGTTCACTTTGAATCCGCAGTCCATTGGGCGCCTCGTCAAATCGACCCTGGACTGAATGTGGAGTAGTCCGGTTGGATGTTTAGTGCATTCGCCTTAGATCCCCAGGGATCCTGTTGGACTCCTGTTTTACCCGGCAGTGGCGATGATCCTGTTGGACGCACAGCTCAGTTTGACATGGGTCGTAGTGATTGTAATGAACGCCGAACTCAACTTCCCTGGATCCACAGTACTTTTGTCAGATGCGAAGTTAAATTCCCCCTGGCTGCCCAGTCATCCCGCTGGATGCCAAGCTAGTCTCGCCCTGAACCCAACGTGATCCTTTTTCAATGACCGGTTCATCTTGTTCTGGGTCCACAGTGATCCTGTTGGATGGCCACGATTCGGCGCTCACGAGCAGCATCAATGACGCCATCCAGGAGATGACGTCATCCAACCCGGGTCTGAGCGTCACGCCGCAGTTTGTGCTGGTGGACAACAAGCTGACGGACAAGGAGCGAAAGGATTACGGTGAGTGATGGCAGCTGTTCAACGCGAACGACGATGAGGAAGGAAAAGCGGCTGGTCGAAGGCGTCGCTTCTGAGCGTTGTCCTGAGCCTCGCTTCCGATGCCGGACGAACAAGCCTATTGACTCTGCCATCGTGTTGCTTCTGAGTGTGTCAGCCTTATATTTCCTGAGCCTCGCCTTCGATGTGGAAAGGAGCAGGCCCATTGGCCCTGCCATTGTGTTGCTGGATTGACAGAAGTTAGGGGACGTGTCCGGCCGTGGCTGCATGTATATATATATATATATATATATATATATATATATATATATATATATCCTCATTTCATGCATGCACATATCAGGGGCGGAAGGCAAATTATGGGAGTTGTGTTATGCCAAATTACACGATATTTGGATGTCCCCTAACTTTGTTCGGTCTGAAAGCGTCCCTTAATGAACAGACCATTAATAAACTCACCCTCGGTAGCGATGAGAAATGATTGTTGTGAACATTGCTGACTATGTGGCGTTGTTTGCATAACTGATATGTCTGGACAGGCGGTAGGAAGTTTGCAAGGAGGTCAGCATTGGGCACGTCCCGATCGCTGAACAGCATCACGGTGGAGATGAATTATAGGTCCTTTGGCGCGCGGCCGCCGACTCGCGTTCATCGAACACTTAGCAGACGTGTTGCGGTGGCATACAATGTTCTAGAGCTGCGGCATAGGGAAGGCATGATTAAGAAGCGTTATGTAGTCATATTCGAGCTGGCTCATTAACGAGAAACGAGGTCACTGTGGTAAGAGCCGGATTGTGGCTATGGGAGCCGAATAATTATAAAAATGAAGACATCACTCGAGCTGCGCCCTCGGCATACTTCGCACACAACCATCGGCGACTAAGCGGTACCTGAGACGTGGTGTTGTAAATCTGTAAGTCTTGAGATGTCTTTAACACACTGTGTGTAGTGCAGCATAATTCATGTGCTGGTAGCAAGTCTAACCCCGAATAATTGATCAGAACATTTTTGCCATAAACTTCGCAAAGTGGCATGTGCCATGCAATTTCTCACGCAGCTCCGTAAACTTAACAGCTCTTATTTGACAAGGCACGCAACCATTTATTTCACCTTTGCCCCGCTTGCATAGTTGCACACTAGAGCAAAGCTGGCGTTTCAGCAAACGCCTTGGTCCGGCTGGCTCACAAGAATCGGTAAAATGTTCGCGTCGCTTTCGCAACCGCTACGCGCTGCAGCGGACGAGATGGCGCGCTGACACGGTCCGCTGACACGGTCTGCTGACACGGTCCGCTGACACGTTCTGCCGGCATGGTCCCCTGACACTGTTGTCTAATACGGTCCGCTGACACTGTCCCCTGACACTGTCCGCCGCCACGATCCGCTGACGCGGTCCCCTGACACCGTCCGCTGGCACGATCCGCTGACACGGTCCGCTGACACGATCCGCTGACACGGTCCGCTGGCACGGTCCGCTGGCACGATCCGCTGGCACGGTCCGCTGGCACGGTCCGCTAACACAGTCCGCTGACACGGTTCGCTTGCACAGTCCGCTGATACTGTCTGCTGGCGCGGTCCGCTGGCACGGGCCGCTGACACAGTCCGCTGACAAGGTCCGCTGGTACGGTCCGCCGGCACGGTCCGCTGGCACGGCCCTCTGACTACGTTCGTTGACACAGTCCACTCACACCGTCCTCTGACACTGTCCTTTGACACCGTCCTCTGACACGGTCTGCTGACACCTGCTGACACCATCCACTAACTTCGTCCTCGGACGCAGTCCTCTGATACGGTCCTCTGACACAGTCCACTGACACGGTACGCTGACATGATCCACTGACACGGCCCATTAGCACGGTCTGCTGACACTGTCCATTGACGCCGCTTTCTGACTCTGCCGCTGGCGCCGTCCTCTGACACCGTCCCTTGGCACAGTTCCCTGACACGGTCCTCTGACACGGTCCTCTGACTCCACCCGATGCCACCGTCCGCTGGCGGCCTCGGTGCCGGTCACGCCCCGTGCCAGGCCGTCTAGGGACACCGAGCAAGCGCGCGCGTCAGCTGGCGCCATCAGCCGACAATGGGCCATTTGGACGCCGCGTAAATGACAGTCCGTACGCAGCAGTTATTCAGTGGGGACATGAGGCCCGCAAACTGCTAATTGGAGGAGGAGGCTATCGAGGCCGCACGATATTTGCCGAGACGTTCAGGGAGCCCAGGCTTGGCATGCTGTTAACAGGGTATAGGCTCTGCGAAGCGGCACAGCGCCGCGTTTTCAATATGCCTGTATCGCTGTGACACAACTGCGACGATCCGACCTGTTGCATGGCTCCTGTTTTGCGCCATACCCGGCGTGACCGTTTCTGTGCGCCCTGACCCGGTGTGACTGGTGACCTGTGGCCCTGACCTGATATGGCTGGTGTCCCGTGACTCTGACCTGGCGTGACTGGTGGCCGGTGGCCCTGATTCGCCATGAGGAATAACCTGCGGTCCTGACCCGGTGTGACTGGTGACCTGTGTTACTGACCCGGTGTGACTGGTGACCTGTGTCACTGACCCGGTAAGGCCACTGCCCTGTGACTTTGACCCGGTGTTATCGGTGTCCTGATCCCTGATGCAGTGTGATCAGATCACCCCCAGCGTGAGCGCGCCGTGCCGGCAGTGTGCGGCCAGACGAGCTCCAGCTACTCGGCGGTGGTAGACCTGACCTGGGACGGTGTGAGCGGGGTTGGTGAGCAGGCGCGCCTCTCCGACCTGCCCTGGCTGCAGCTGGATGTCACCAACCGACCCTTCATACAGGCGGCCGACAGCTACCTTGAGTACGCCAACGCCACCGACGCAGCGCTCATCTTCCAGGACCAGAAAGGTGAGCAAGCAGGCCTTCTAGCATTAAAATGTGCATTGCTCTTGCGTGCGAGTCACATGATGGTAATGGGAATGAAAAGAGCTTCACCATTTTTAGGCTGAGGAATTTTCTCCCCGTTTCGCTTTTCCATTTTTCGTTAAGGCGGTTTCGAATAGCTGATACACCCTGAGGTGTAAGACTGCGTGTACACTAACGCACCTGACGAGGGCGATATCTGAACAGTTAGTCCATACGTGAAACTAATACCTCGTCTCAACCTCCAGTAAGCCCCATAAGGTCCTCATTACTTTACCATACCTCATTACTTTACATTAATACTCAACTGCCTTCCTACCCAGGCAATCCTAACAGCCCTTGGTCTGTCCCGGGGACCTGGTATTAAGTTCAAATAAGACAAGATACCTTAAAGATGGAACTGGACTGGAAAACGAAATCCATGAAAGATTTGGGCGTGAACGTACACAGCTAGCTATGTTTTTCCGAGCATTGCATGTGGTAGACACGTTGCCACTAGGTGTTATGGCAATGCGGTCATGTTTCGTGCGGTTTCATAAGGATGTATATATATATATATATATATATATATATATATATATATACATGATAATACGTTTGCATTAAGATTCGCCATGATGCGTAAATATTTGGCTAGAACATTGCTATTGTCCACTGAACGTTTCAAAGCATATTGCGACTTTTGACGCGTTGTAAAATATGTAGATGCAGTAAGTCTAATATTGTTCCACATCTGTCTGTTTGGTACGAAAATTTCTACATGGCTTGACATTTCGTGTTTTCTCAGTCGAGGTTGAGCACAGGACACAAATGTCAAAGTGAGGACAGACAGGGTCGAAGCAACATTTATGAGTTCATATCTCACTTATATACGCAGCATCGAGTTACTGCGGTCTCAAAGATTCCTTTGACACCCTTTTAGACGCAGTTTAAGTTGTTTTTGTTTTAAATATTGCCGCCCCCTTCGGTCATGTGACAAATCAGCTAGACAATATGTACAATATGTGGTATCAGCAAGGTAAGAGAGTCTTAAGAGGACTGCTTCAAGCGTTGAAGCCAATGTTAATGTCAATGTTATATTGTGTTTCTGACTCCCTCAGAATGAAAGTAGCATGGAACTACCGCTTTCAAGCTTTTTGATGCACTCCTAAGCACTCACGAATTTTGGCCAAGATGCGACACTGAACTTGCCTTGAATCGGAGAATCAGACTAACCCGTGAGGACCCATATTTTTCAAAAAAGTGCGATTCCAAGACAAAAGAGAGTCAAAAATAGTTGTGTAGCGCAAAGCAAAGACGTTGCCTACAGCTTCACGTGCTGAACAGCTGATTTAACAAGTGTATTGACGTCACATGCATTTGTATTGCCCCTGGGAACCTCTTACGGCAAATATCGTCGAAGTCCAAGGAATACGTGTGTAAAATTGACCCTCCAACTGAACAAGCTGTCCAGTAGCCCTTCATTGATGTGCTGCTCAAACGCGGGCGCTGTCGGCAATCGGTTCCGAGACCTCCCACTCCACCTCGCATTCACCCTGCGGCATCCCTGCCCACGCGCCGCATTCGTCCTTAATTTGCGCCATTCATTGAACACTCAGCGAGACGGCGACCGGCGGCGGCGCCGGCGGTGGTGCGCTCGATACGTGCCCAGTGTCAGGCGGTGGTACGCTCGATACGTGCCCAGTGTCAGGCGGCGGTGCGCTCGATACGTGCCCAGTGTCAGTGTCGATACGTGCCCAGTGTCAGGCGGCGGCCTTTGTAGTCACCTCGAGGCCACGGGTGCGGTGCGCATTTCACGCGCCGCCGCACACAGTGTGGTCCGGCATCACCCTCAGGGGACCGGTCAATGAGCGCCTGCATCCGCGCTCCACTTGCGGCTGCCATAACAGGTCTACTTGGGCCGCTAAATGCGGGCCGTCGGTTTAAGGCAAACATCGCCGCCACCAACGTGCGTCCTGGCGTTCCGGTTCGACCGGCTGCTCATAAACGCTGAGTTGCTTGGCTTTGATGTCAGCTTGAAAGGCTTGTCAATGCACGTAGTACTTACGGAAATAAAAACAAAACTCACGCAGGTAGCACTTTTTCGGCACAGAAGGGAGATGAGAAGGCTAGAGGAGATGATGAGAGTCGGGCACCAGTGGAGCATAATGTGCATAGTTGGTCAAGGTACTGATACTTCGGGGGGCTACTGCAGCAGAAGAGACGTCGCATCACGGCCGTTCCCTCGGTGGCCGGTGGTAAACTGTCACGGCTCTGGTTGCTCCCTGATCGCAAACATTTCATGCATTCAGACGGGTGGCTGTGAACATGAGTAGGAAGATGATGCATCTGAAGATCATGCCGCGTAACCTAGCGCGATCTTGCAGAAAGCCTGCCGCTGAAGCAGCGAGCAGGCAGATGCTGCTTCACATGTCCGTGTTCTCCTCCGGGGATGCAGGAACTGAGTCGCTTGATATTCGGTTTGTCACCAAAATGAGGTTAATGACTGCCGACAGCGCTTGGCCGTCTGCACCCCGCTCCTAACCGCCTGAAAGTGCTCAGTCGTCTACCCCCCCCCCTCATTTCCCTCCCGCTCTGACGGCCTGAGAGGGGTCGGCCGTCTGTACCTCGCTCCAGGCGCCGGAGAGCGCTTCGGCCGTCTGTACCCACTCCTAGCCGCCTGAGTGTTGGCTAAGCGAGTGGCGTGCGGTGGGCTCTAGTATGCACATAGTAACCCTGACGTAGCGTGTCTCCCCTCATCCTCTGTATTACCTGCATGCTTGATATGTCAGGGAACAAATGTTGACACTGGACATTCTTGGGTAGACGACAAGAAATAACTAGGTCGAGAACATGCCAACCCCTTTTACGCCACGCAACAAATTGCGTGCGCCTCCGGCGGGCTAAACTGAGTTATCAGCACAAGATTGAGCCGTCCCCTCCCCCCCCCCCCCACCCCCACACCGTTGTCAACTACCAAAGCCTGCGTGCGTCACTGGTGGCAGGCATGAATCAGTCGATCCTGTATCTGCTGGGCAACACCGTGCTGCGCGTGGTGGTGATGGAGGGGCTAGAGAACAACATCGTGGAGGACCTGAAGAAGATCCGGCCCACGCCCACCTACTACGTCATCTTTGCCGAGACGGAGCGCGCCAACCAGCTGATGGCTAGTGTAAGAAGTGGCGGCTGCCGCAGTGGTGTATGCCACTACATCCCTATAGTCCGGTGTAAAATGCAGCGCTTGGATGGAGTGGACACTTTCTAGTGATTTAAGTCTGCGCAAGTTGGCTATACATATGCATATGGTTGGATTCATAGTAGCGCCGTGCACGCCTGAGTGCAGCTTTGTGGGCCCCCATGCCCGCGTTGGAAGGCCTGAGTTGAGGACCGGTAAAGCCTTGGTTCGCTCGCTGGATTTTCTACGAATTATTTTCCAGGTTTTCCATCTCGTAATTTGGCAGTTAAAAGTTCTAAGATCATGTGGCTTTATTTCACAAGACTTCGTAAATATTGGGTCTGAACCTTTTGATGCGATGGATTTCTAGGATCAGAGCACGTGCTTAAGTGTTTGTTGCGTGACTGTTGGTGGCTTACCTTCTGCTTGGTTTTCAGCACACCGCAAGTCACGGACTTCTAAACAATAGTCAATTAAAAGGGTGGACGGACGGACATGGTGGACGATGGTGTTAACCTTGTCATCGCCAGGCTGCGTCCTCGGGCCTGATGACCAAGGACTCGTGGTGGACGGTGGTGCTGACCTCCTCCTTCGTCAGGCCACATCCTCGGGCCTGATGACCACGGACCCCCTGGTGGACGGCGGTGTTAACCCCCTCATTTCGCCAGGCCACATCCTCGGGCCTGAGGACCAAGGACTCGTGATAAACGGTGGTGTTAACCTCCTTCTTTCGCCAGGCCACATCCTCGGGCCTGATGACCAAGGACTCGTGGTGGACGGTGGTGCTGACGGACGGACGTGCCGCCGAGTTCAACCAGGCCTCGCTGCGCACGGCCATCACGGTGGTAAACGTGGCGGGCGGCGCGTGCTGCCGTCTGGTCGGCCTCGCACCCGACTGCACCTGTCCCAACGACTTCCAAGTGAGCTCCTGCGCCACAGTCTGCCCAGGAGAGCGGCGGCGTTGCCAACACAAGCGTGTTTGAGCAGCCGAGCGAACAGCGTTTGCTTTAGCGTTTCGCTGTTCCTTTTATGACGTTTGACTGTCTGAGAGGCTTGACGCTCACCACCGTGCCTGTGCTCACTCTAGGGAACAAAATTCGACACGTTTCTGATCTCATCCTGCGTTTTGAACAGAGAAACCAGTCTTCCCACGGTGAATAATGTTTGAAAGGCTAATTTCTTAATGACCTTTAGAAGCATGAAGCCCAACTTGTTACCAAATGTGCTTTCAGAACGCCACCAAACCTGCAAATAAACAATTGTTTGACGCATCTTTCTGCATTTTGAAGATGTAGAAAAACACCAAGTAGACGAGAGCAGATGATTGAAGCACAGTACAACTTATCCACCTGGCTTTCTTTCCTGAATTCCAGACACTTAGAAATGTGTCAAGCTATTCCGCCTGTCCGCAGGGCTTAGAGGTCATGAAAACGCCTGTAACGCTAAAATGCCTTTGATTCGAGAAGCATTCCAGAAAGTCACCTTTCATTATCCTCAACTCCATCGGAGCTGCCAATATTTGGCAGCCATGAGTGAAGCTCAATCATGCCCTAGCTCATCGTGTGAACTGCGTGGTGGGAACAGAGCCACGGCTGAAGTCACGCCCCAGCAGAGATGCTCTTCACTGAGAGGTGCACTGCGACCGTGGTTACAGCTGCCGGCGCTGACGGCTCGCCAGGGCACCAAGGTGGTGCTGACGGCGTTCGTCCAGATGTCGGCGGACGGCAGGATCACTGCGCCGAAGGCGCTGGACTGTGGGCGCACCACGGCCCTGTCGGACACTATGACCCGGGACTTCTCGACCCGGCTCGAACAGGTACGATATACCTGAGGGAGGGATGGAGGAAGGGAGGGAGGGAGAAAGGAGGAGAGGAGAAAGAAGGAAGGAAGGAGAGAAGTGAGAAGAGAGGAAGGGAAGCAGGGAAGGAAAGAAGGACAGAGAAAAGAAAGGGAAGAAGTAAGAAAAGAAAGAGGGAGTGGGGGAGGGAAGGTGGGAGGAATGGAGGCAGGAAGGGAGGGTAGTTAAATGTGAGGGAAGGAGGGAGAGCGAAGGAGAGTAGACAAGAGAGCTGGAAAGCCAGAGACGGAAGAGGGAATTGGAGGAATGCCTCGTTTTAGGTGGAAATCTTTAGGATGAGGTGGAGAGACTTGGTCCACATTGGACGCGTGAAGTGTTGGGCATGAAGCGTTGCGGTAGCGGTAGGGATTACTTGCGTTGATTCTGAGCTCATTGAGTAAAAACACAAACTTACTGGTGTCAGGGATCTGCAAACAACGAAGTTCCCGTTAGAGCCCATTCTTTTGTTTTTGTATTGTGTTTAATCTGATCGTGCATGACATCCCGAACCAAAATACGCACACTTAGGTGAAATTAGTATATCAAGAGACAAGTAGGACATCACAGGTTGAGCATCGTGAGGGGGAAGGTGAGAGGCAGCGATACATTGAGAATGTGTCTATACATTAGAGCTGTCCCTGAATGCTTTCATCGGGAGTTCGTCACCACTGTCCACTGTTTTCAAGTACACCTGGCCAGTGATTAGGCAACTTGAATGTTGCTTGTTGCATTGTTGCAGGGACCAACGACAAACAGCAAAAAAACTCAGAAATTTACATCAATGAGCTGCGTCACTTAAGAACGACAGGACAATTATAGTGGCGAATATCTGTGGCGAATAATGAAATTCGATTTCAACCGCTTTATACGACGCGTATGAGTTGGTAAGACCAAACTTTTTGACCAGCTGCTCTGTCACCGACCCACTGACTCAACACCAAAAGAGGAAATCGTAAACGAAGGACCATTTTCGAACACTATTCTTCCACTCTTGGGATGAATGTTTCAGAAGCAAAATAATTGTAAGTGGCCAATCCCACGCGCGGGCCAAGTATCCCACAACTTACAGTACGCGCAAGTATCTAGGTTAGCCGTCACCGGTCTGGATGTCGGAAGGCAGGTTTTGGTGGATTCTTGCTCATTCTCAACATCTCAAATTGTCCACACCAGACTTCATTTTTGCGAGGTGTTTACGCCCGGTGAAGACTCGTGGCCCATCACTAAAAGGATTCGGTCCGTCAGAGGGCTCAGTCCGGTATTATTCCGCTGCGGCCGGGATGGTCCGGTATTATTCCGCTGCGGCCGGGATGATATGCTCGACATATTCCGTGAATATATCGGTGACGTGGCAAGGCATGTGGCAGCCCCTAACACCTCTTTTCGATCACAATTCGTTATGCGAAGCGTTCCAGCCGAGCGGAATCTGCAAAAGGCCCTGACGTATCAGGCCGAGTCCAAAGCCCGCTGTAATTTCCAGAGGGCCAGAGCTTCGCCACTGCATCCTGTGAGCACTTCATCGGCTCGTCTACATGGACACCAGACTACTAGCCTGTAATGAAGTACGGGCAAGCGCGCCTATGATCGCCACCATACTTGAAGTCAGACCGAGCTATTCACAGCGTTGCCCAGCTTTTAAGTTATAAAGTTAAACATAGCCAATGCTTTTTTTGTACTTTGTGGTAACCCATGTGAGATTACAGCTTTCTATACCGTGACAAGTAATGCCCTCATGCTATGTAAGGGTACTGTTATGCGGGGAGCGAAACGAAGCGCACCATTTACACAAATGTATTTACATGTCGTTACCCACCAACAAACTATGAATCCGATGGTATTGCCCCTACAAATGCTGCTTTAATTTTTTTTAAACCAGCGTTTTCCTTGCTGGGGCTTACATTTGAGATGATGCACGCATCTGAACCCGACAGCTACCCATCCTAGATTGGGTCAGAAGTGGTACTGGACGAACATGGGTAATCATATTGCTAACGTAACGCGCCCTCTAGCCCTGCATCACGGGTGATAGAGGCTTTTTGGCGGCAGTGAGCTCCGTGCCGTAAACAACTTATGTGATATGAAAAGAAAACAAACCCGTTCTATCTTGACAATCTTGCCGTCCGAAGGCATAAAGATGCAAACGTCATTTTTCGGAGTTTTTATATTATTTGGTGTGGCTCGGAGAGCTGCATCTTGTGATGTTAAGTTCAAAATCTGAGCGAAATGTTGCGTTCAAGACGTTGCCAAATTACTTTTTCTCAGCACATAGGATCTATTTCATTTGTTGAAACTTAAGAATACTTCTTAACAATTTACCTAATGGCGCTTAGGCCTGGTTGTCTTTGGACGGTGCAACTGAAATGGGAGTCAGTATTTTCTTCTCCCTTTACTTACCCCGTGCGATTTCTCATTCTATTTTCATTTTTAACCGCCGCTAGGGCAAACAGGAAGGAGACTATGACCGCCATGTTCACTTTGTCTAGAAGGTACTAGGTCCAGTTTTATGACGCCATCTGCTGCGTGGCGTGTTGACGCCAAGGAAAACTGTACAATCAAGCCAGTCTTCATAAGACCGTTGACCGTCATTGCCCGCTGCCAGCAGATGCAGTCTTCACCTCAGGAAAAGAGAGCACGCGTCTGGCCATAAACAAAAGCCCCTGACCCGCACGCACATGCGTGGACAGCGCCGATGCCCAACAGTGCGTGTATCTGTAGAGCATTGTCGGACAAGATGGCGGCGCATCCTCCCGCTCCTGGATCAGTGTTCTGTTTTGCTCCTTCGACACCACAGAAATAATGCATCGTCATCGACGTTTCAGGGGTGATACAATGGTTGGGGCGTCCTGCTAGCGCTGTAATGGGGGCATTGACAGCCCTCCACTGGCGGCTCCACGGTGAATGCCATGCCCACTTGCCAGGGCCAGACAGCCGCGCTGTTTGCACAATGGCGGCATTGACGACCTTTTCATGAGCGCACACGCTGAAAACTGCGGCAGCTGTACGGACAGAGGCCGCTTTCAAACACGCCATCGATGCATTAAACAGAACGACCGGTTCGAAACGGACGCCGCTGCATGTAGCATTGACTATTTATCGCAGGACTGTATACTGTCCGTCGCCCCAACTGATATGGCTCAGTTCTCGCGGCGGAGTCGACTGCGCCTCTATGGTCGCTGTTTTTAAGATTTAGTCCAAACCTGTTGAGTGGATGAATTCTGAGATATGAGCTGACACTAAGCAGCGCTTGTTACATGAGCCTTGACTCCTACCATCTGATGGCGAAATTCCAGGTCAGCGGCAGAATTTGGTGGCGAAGTGTCACGTGACACAATGTTCGACGATCCGTCCTGCTCTCTGACGTCAGCTGACGCTTAAGGCGGTCGCTGCCACCGGCCGCAAACCATCCCAGTCAAAGGCAAACAGCGAGCGCCTAAAGCGCCTCGAACCCACCCCGCTACGGGTGGGCGGTTACGTCCCACGTCCTCACCGAACAATGACCGGCTCGTCAGAGGCTTTACCTCGAGACCTGCCAACATTGCGTCTAGTTGCATTGCGCATCGGTGTTCTACTGTCATGCTTACACCAACCCGTCGCCCTGCGCAGGCAGAGCACCAGCTATGGTCGATGTGCCACAACAGACCCCCGACAGGGCACCATTCAGATGTGGTCTGTTGCTAACTTCCCGTCGGTCCCGTCTAGCGGCCCACTCTTGCAAGTGGTATCGGTGACACGGCCGGTGTCGCCTGCGGCCAGGCCGCTGTGTCACATAACTGCGAAACCGTGGGGCCTGGCTGACACCGGCGACCTCCGAGTTCGGTGGTCGGCGGCGCACCGACTCCTGGCCGGTGCGCGAGCCGGCCACCCGGTCCCGTCCGCTCGGTCGACGGCCTGACCCCGGCCGCGCAGCGCCCCCGCCGCGGCCATTCCTCATGTCACACCGACGCCTGGCCGGCCGGTCGTTCCAGAGCCGGGCAGCGGGGCGCCGCCGGTGCTCCTGGCGCAAGGGCCGACCCGCACGCCACCGACCGGACGTGCGTCAGCGGGTCCGGGCTAATCGGCGGAGACGCCGACAACGCGCCCCGCTGACCGGACGGCCAACCGAGCAGACTTGACTTGACTTGGCTTGATTTGACCTACAGACTTCAATTGACTGAGGCGAGCCACCATATAGCATGACATGCACAACCACTGATCTGGCTATGGGTACCGAATGACCTGGACGGTACCGTCGGTATCCCTGGCCTGCCAACTGACGTGTTGCAGGCTATCAACTGACTTGAGAGTGCGCCACCACTGGTTGAGGGGGGGGGGGGGCACTCCAGCTGACTTCCGTACCGGAGTGGTACTGTGTCACTGCGTCCAAGTGCTCCCTGTCTGTCCGTTCACTCCCATGCCAGTAGCATTGTGCCCGCTTTTGACCCCCTGCACGCCTGTGCCCCCCCCCCCCACGACGGGCGTGACCTCGCGCTTGTAGCCGTCTCCGCTCCCCCAGGCGGCCGCCAGCAGCGTCAGCATGCAGCTGAAAGAGAAGCGCCTGCTGCCCTCGGCCGCCATGGACCTGTGGCAGATGGACGCCACCAACCGAGAGCGGCTCGGCAGCTGGAGCTTCTCCGCCAGCTTCGTCGTCGACCCCAACCACGTCTTCACCAAGATCAAGCGACACTTCAAGATTGGCGTCATTGTGGTGAGTTGCTGCGGTGTCGCGACTGAAGGCGCCGACAGAGGCCCGGCTTGGCGACTCCGGGTCGTGGCAGTGGTTGCGCTGGATTTCCAACTCAGCGTGGCGTAGCTCTTTGAGTGCGCATGCAGGATACGTGCTCAGCGGCCTGATATTTGGGTTTAATGATGATAGCGTGCCAGGGTGTTCTGCTTTGACGGGCCGGACGCGGAGTATGTCAATTTCAAGCCAGTTAGCTTCACGTCAGTACCCGAATACCTGCGTCGTAAATTTCAACCGCCAATCATTACCCCATGACTAAACCAGGTCGATATGTCATGCGGCGAGCTTCCAGCCTGCTTAGAGTCGCCTGTAGCCAAAGAATTGCATTAATGCGCGAAGTGTTACCCGCGGAGCTTCCTGCCGGTTTCACAAAAGCTAACAAGACCAAAAATTAGCCCAACTTCGTAAGAAACATGAAGTTAGAGGCAAGGAGACGAGTATGCCAGGATGGCGTTTGAATATATTTAGATGTGCATTTAACCATATAGTGATTGCATTCACTTGCCCGCCACTCACCATTTTCATAAACATGACCTAAAAAGGAATCAGGGAAGGTGCTCTCGAGCTGTGTGCGATGAGATACTTTTAGACCTAAAAGATTAGCGAAACACGACTTTGCACTTTGCCGCTCCTCACAAAAAGCTCAGCGCGCGTCCGTTCCACAGCTGGTCATACAACGGACCGACGACTGGTCTGTGGTCGGTTCCCTTCGCTGCTATGAAAATGACGTCACGTGCCATGCCAAGTCAAGTGATGTGAGGGACAGTGTCGCAGCATCGGGCTCTCGGTGCTGCTCATTCTTGCTCCGATGCTCGCGCGAAGCGTGAGATGGCGTGGTGCCCCGTGCAGTGACGTCACGCACAGGGCGTCAGACGCGGTGGTGCCCCGTGCAGTGGCGTCTCGCACAGGGCGTCAGACGCAGTGGTGCCCCGTACATTGGCGTCCCTCGCACAGGGGTCCATAGCAGTGGTGCCCGAAGTGACGCAGATCTCGCACAGGGCGTCAGACGCAGTGGTGCCCCGTACAGTGACGTCTCGCACAGGGCGTCAGACGCAGTGGTGCCCCGTGCAGTGACGTCTCGCACAGGGCGTCAGACGCAGTGGTGCCCCGTGCAGTGGCGTCTCGCACAGGGCGTCAGACGCAGTGGTGCCCCGTACAGTGACGTCACCAGGCGGAGTGATGCGCCGTGCTGTGACGTCACTAGGTAGTGGTGCCCCGTACTGTGACGTCACTAGGCAGAGCGACTGTAACGTGCTGTGACGGCACCAGGCGGAGTTGTGCCCGTACTGTGACTTCACCAGGCGAGTGGTGCCCGTGCTGTGACGCCACCAAGATCTGGAGGCCGGGCAGGGGGTAGAAAGGTCGTGGATGAAATGAATATCGCTGTTATGGTCCATAGACACCTCCATTTCCTGCAAGGTGCGAGCCCAATTTACTGGCTTTGGAACATACTTCCGGATGGAGTATTTTGCGTTGTTAGCGAGAGAAATTGATATCGCAACTTGTTGTGATAAACAGATGGCTCACTAATTAACTAGAACGAGAAGTAAGAGCCAACCAAATTGAGTTCCAGAATAGTGCTGCTGCCGTAAGACTTTGACCACACTGATTACCTGTTTCTGGAACTAGCTTAGTTTTTTATGAAAGATGTACCATGCATCAATAACCATTAACATACACGTTTGACCACTTGCTTACTACATGTAACAACTGGCAGTACCAGAGGCATCCACATCAAAAGGTGTGCCTCGGACACTCCTTAATCCTGCTGGCCAACACATTCCGTTTCCAGAAGGAGGTTCTGGTATCTACTATTATACTCAAGGAGCAATGTGGGCGTGTATGCCACCGATTCTTTGGGATCCTGCGCAGACCAAAGGGTGATGAATTTCTTAATGAAATGTTGTCACGACCAAGAGCTGATGGCAGGGCGCGGCAGTGTCCCGTGAAATTTCTGCATTTCGCAAAGTGAGTGCGTGGTGAACAAAAATAGGTCGAAGGATCCCCATAGCTTTAACACGGGCGACGCAACATTTGCGACCGCCGGATGACGGTACGACTCGGCCCACTCCCGAAGCCATGTCTTGATAACCATCGATCGATATCGCATATATCGATCGATATCGCATCGATATGAAACTTCCAGAATTGGTCATCGGATTGGTATAAGTTTAAGGCGCCACATGGTACATAGCGCGTCCACACGTGTTGGAAAGATAGCATTGGCCATTTTTATCGTGTTTTTACGCTTTGGGTTATATTCCGGCCCACAGTGCAGATAGGTGCGTGAATTTTAATTGCCAGCATTCAAAATTGAAGTAGCTACACTTTCAGTACGTCCTAAAAGTTTGTGCAACACACCGTTACGTTGCGAATAGCAATGTAAGTTGCAAACGACCAAGTTCAAAAAGTCAGCGCCAAATACAAGCCGCTACCATCAACACCATTTATAATTTAGCGTTGAAAACTACACCAGCGTGTCTCCGTTTATCACCCATTTGTTGATCACTTTCCAATGATTCACCCCCAAATGAGCCTAGACTAATGGATTGCACGGCGGCTTTTCATGCCGCAAAGGAACGGTGCTGTCCAGTGTCTCTCGGCCGAAGCGGCTGGTCCCTTCAAGATTAATCGGCCGTCTGATCACGTGACTGGCTGCCGTAACTAACTCTCTCCGACCGATTATGCTATCTCTCACCGATATCTCGACAACTGCGGCTCGGAGCGAGCCGAGTGTGGCACGAAAACATGTGCCATGCAAAATGCTACGGTCGCACGCATCATGTGGTACGCTTTTAAAGATGGCCTTTGCTTTCTTCCACGGGTTTACACGTTTTGCGCCAATTCTCGGCACCCAGGACACGGACACACGCGGAAGTGGCACGCTTCGATAAGGAATGAAGTATAAGATGGCAGTGATTGGCCACATGTGCCACGTGTCATGCCGCCTATGTGTCGAAGCATGAATGTGGTCTATTTTCGACGGGTTTAAACGTTTTTGCGATATCGCGGCACTCAACGCACCAAGCGACTTGCCAGCGCCCTGGTTTGATAGGCAATATAACGGACAATCACGTGGCGTAAGATGGGAAGTTTCACGTGCACACTAGCTGTGAAGATCCACTTTGCTGATTTCGTCGGTTTTTACGTTTTACGTCACACTTCCGTACTCCGAGCACATAGGCACACAGGACTGGTATGCCGCGATATGGAACTGGATGGTCAGTCATGTGTTTCACGTGTGCGTACCAACAGGTTACATGTCACACCCACAAGCTTCGAAAATATTTAATTTCGAATTTTCACAGGTTTAAAGGTGTCGTGACGCATTGCAGCACCCAACGCACCTAGCCACTGGGAAGTGGCATGCGTTGATAGGCATCCGAACAGAAAATCACGTCGTGTGAATCGTCATGCCGCGCGTGCTGCGTGTCATGCGTGCGCGAGCCAGCAAGATGAATGTGAAAACTACGGCCGTTACCGGCCGTAGTTTTCACATTTCACGCCATGTCTCGGCAACCAGGCCACCTAGAATCGTGATTTAAACTGAAAAAGATGCAAAATTGGATTTTCTACGTTTTTCATTAGCACGGCGAAGCGAGCGCGCAAAAGTTTGTATAATGATAAGCTAGAATCAAAATAACACACTTTCTTGTCATCCATGTTGTGCAGGACGAAATTTTACAGCTATTGCCGCGTAAGTGGTTTCGCGCCAAATGGCAACCTTCCAGCGGCTTGGAGGGCTGGTATCCTGCTGGAGGCACTCATCATCGGCTGCGTCTGCTCCAGCTTCAACCACTCCGACCCCACTCCGGGTCTCCAGCGCCGGAAGCGTCTGCCGTTTCTCCGCTCTTTCGCATCTTCAGCCTGCTCCGCAAAGGAAAGCTAATGTCCCGGACCTGCATCACGGTCCACGGCCAACCGACTTTGTAAGCTGGGTGGGGGCAAGATACCATCCCCCTCCCCGTGGCGCATTAAACCGCACATTCAACTGCACGTGGCAAACATTAAACCGCACATATTCTCGCAGGTGGTGCTTAACCCGTCACTGATCACAAAACCCGGGCGAGTTATCGTAAAAGCGGCGAACAAACGGGCCGGTCGTGTTTGGGGCGGCGCCGAACTGGCCGTGGGACGGTCACCTCGGAGCCCGGGGCGACTTCGATCGAGCGCCCCGCGAGCGCCCGCCCGCCGGTGCTGCATAGCGCGCACAATTACGGCCATGGAACGGCCGGCGTCATCACACAAAGACGCCGTCGCTGCCGTGACAAATCGCCTGGCCAGCCGCCGGCTTCCCAGGCCGCTCCCACAAACAGGCCGCCGGCCTGTGCACACACGGAGCCGATCGTGACGTCACCAGTGCCAATTGGACGCGCGCTGCCACTAACATGTCATCGGGTCAACATGTTGCGTCTGGAGCCTGCGGTAGCACCCGAATTGCAGCGTTCAGTGGCAATGGTATTGCAGCGTACGGTAGCAATGAAAATGGAAGACGCACCAACAGTGGTGTTGGAGTGTAAGATAGCACTTGCATTGGAGCGAGCGGTAGCACTCGCTTCGGAACAAACGGTATTGACGGCATCAGAGCGCGCAGTAGCACTGAGCTAACAGGCGTTTGGCTAGGGAAAAATTGAACGCGAATTGTTGTGAAAAACAAGCTGTGCCTTACACAAATACGTGACCACACTAGCACCAGCCACGCGTGGAATCATGACAAAAGCAAAATATATCACGCTTGTATAAATACGCTACGACCAAGTTGCATTCATCTGTTGAACGGCTGGACTCGGAACAACCGCTTTCACAGCGGTTTTTTTGGAAGGAATGCAGCTTTATGAAGATAAGGTGACTTACTTTTGACTATCCGAAAACAACATTTTGGCCCCGCTCGTTCAAAGTTTAGGCTAGTGTCTTCCGGAAGTGAATTAAACCATTTTAATGCACTACAAGACGGAGACATAATTTAGTAGCAAATGTGAAATGCACAATAGAGATAAACAGGAGCCAACCCCATCGTCGGTAACCATGCGTATATCAAAATAGCCCGTAAATCTTGTACTTTCCACTGAAGAGTTTTCCTCCATTTTCATGACCTATTCGCTATTTTAAGTTCGCCAGTTTGGTCCCGTGTGACCGAATCATGAAATACCGTAATTTACCAATAATGTTGATGGGCCTGGCGACAGTCCCTAGATTTGCACCCGTTTATCCCAGTTTTCACGCATTTTAGGTTTGTTCCCAAATAAGGTCGTTGTCTTTTCATGGTAGCGTAAAAAGACCTTTTCTGAAGCAACCATCGCCGCGCCAGTGCGCAACGCAAGCCTGCGGTTTAGCCTTCACGTCTCCGCCTGACGGGCGTGCGTCCGCCGGTTCAGCTGAGGCCCCAACACGACCCCGGCCCCGCCGTCCGTCCCCAGGCTAACCCGTGGACGTTCATGGTGCGGAACTCGCGCGGTGACCCGGTGCGCGACCCGTCCGGCCGGCCCGTGTACGGCGGCTACTGCATCGAGCTGCTGGACAAGCTGGCTGACAAGATGGAGTTCAACTACGATCTGGTGTTCCCCGCGGACGGCGCCTTCGGGGCCAAGAACGTGCAAACGAGCAAGTGGAGCGGTCTGGTGGGCGACCTCGTAGAGAAGGTGGGTAGGCGGGGGCAGACGCAAGGGACGCTGCAGCTACTCTGGGATGAGGGATGGACGGGCTTGAAGAAGGTAACGCTTGCGATGATGAGACTCGAGCACTTAATGGGGGAGGTTACGGCACACATTTTTGGGCAGCTTGCTCGACATACAATGGCTCAATTGGTTGGTGCCCTGGAGGTTTGGTTTCTATTACGTGCTTATGGCATGGCCCAGCTACAGCGAACAAACGATGAGGAAAGAACTGGTAAAATATATGACATAAGAGAAGCGATGGACTGTGTGATAGCGTGTTCACTAAGTGGCGATATGGGTGTTGTAAGTTTGGAAGAATGTTGCAATGACCTTGGCCGAAACGTTCTTTAAACTGCATGCTTATTTTGCCCTCGAAAGTTTTATTTTGTCAATGGCGTGACAAAGTAAAAGCAATCTTCTCTGTCACGTTTCATGGGCTGTACGCTCACAGACGTCTGCGTCCACGTAAGGTGAAAGGGACTCAGGTGATGCCTTCGATGGAGACCAGAGCACTTGACAAATATTCATGAGATGCCATGTTTACGTCAACAGCTGTCGTTTGGCAGGACACTGACATTGTGATTGCGGCCCTGACCATGACCTCGGAGAGGGAGGAGGTCATCGACTTCGTCGCACCTTATTTCGACCAGTCCGGCATCAGTATCGGTGCGTATGCCCGTCACACCTTCAAACACGCTTCTGGCTTCACACCTACAAACACGTTTGTGGCATATTGTGCTCTGTGTGTATCACAAACTCTTCTTTCATAGACTATGCTAGTTTGTACATCACAGGCTGCCATCATCTTGCAAACCCATAAGCCTGGGAACACTAGCCACCGGTGCTATGCTTGCCGCACTCGTCATTAAAACAAAGAAGCGGCTACTCTGTTTTCGGGCACGCCACTATCGCTCACGCGATGCTCTGGCCCCACCTAACCTGCTCTGAGATAAGCCTCGGCCAGAGAGAGCCCCACGGGCCGGACCAGACCGTTAGGCTATCCGCTGACCACTAAAAATCGGGCCGTGGCCACCACCCGACAGTGGTGAGGAAGCAGGAGCCCGAGTACTCCATCTTTCGCTTCATGACGGTGCTCAAGAAGGAGGTGTGGTTCAGCATCGTCGGCGCCCTCGTCGTCACCGGCCTCATGATCTGGGTGCTCGACAAGTTCTCCCCATACAGCGCACAGAACAATCCCGACAACTACCCCTACCCGTGCAGGTGTGTGGAGTCAACGTGTCCAGTTTGGTAGCGGAAGTCTGTGGTTTGGATTACAGCCTATCTGTGCAATTCATTTCGAGTACCTTATCAGGCTAGCAGCAGAATAACGCGCGCAAATAGCTAACCATCATAACCAGACTTGAATCACGTATTGTACTTGAGCTATCCTGTTCAAAATAAACCGGATGAGAGCCGGACCAGGGAAGCATAAGCCACTCAGCAGCGTCCAAAAGTCAGATCGCATGCTAAAAGTGAATTCAATTTGCACTTCGCATTGTCATCGTCCTGCATTGACTCCGACGAACTTTCGCTACCTTCTGACAACCTGTGCCCTGACACCGGCAGGACTTTCACCCTCAAGGAGAGCTTCTGGTTCGCGCTGACCTCGTTCACACCCCAGGGCGGTGGCGAGGCGCCCAAGGCGCTCTCGGGCCGCACGCTAGTGGCCGCCTACTGGCTGTTTGTCGTACTAATGCTTGCCACGTTCACCGCCAACCTGGCCGCTTTCCTGACGGTCGAGCGAATGCAGGTGAGAACGGCGCCGGCAGGGGGCAGGGGAGGGGGCGGGATCAGAGCCTCAGGGCATAAGTGGAAATCAGGCAGGTCAGCTGGGTCACCAAAGCGCGGTTTAGATTGGGGAGGGGGGAGGGCATGGCATGGTGCCGGCCGAAAAATAGAATGCGAGGAATGAGGAAATGCGCGTGGTTGAGTGGCCAGCATCACTGTACCTCTTCTGATGAAGTGCGCATGCTTAGCGTGCGATCGTACAATCATATCAACGGTAAATTGTCCAAACTTTGACAAATGAAAGAGAGCTACTACAGTGATCCATCAATTGCGTGTGTGATTTAAACAAAGACAACAACACCGGCAAACGCGACATGGTCGTCATAAGCTGTGGTCTTAAACGCTCCTGTGCATGTAGCTAACTCTTTCCAATAAACGACCGCCATCTTACCGGGCCACCGCTTCAGTGCTGCGCTGGCTGCGCCTCTGTGTTGTGCCGCCCGCTCTCACCCAGCTCCCGTTTCTCTGAAGACGTCGGTGCAGAATTTAGAGGCGCTGGCCAAGCAGAGTAAGATCATCTACTCGGTGGTGGACGGCAGCTCGACGGACTCCTACTTTCAGAACATGGCTCATGCCGAGAACGCCCTCTTTAGGTGGTCAGACACGTGTTATGAGTGTCGCTTAGCTCACCGCTTCGCTTCGCATCTTGCACGCACTGCGCGCTCTCTAGTCCATGCCGTGAGGGTCATGGAGGTCACTATGGTGCAGAACCGAGTACCCTGGTCAGGGAAGGTCAAGAACGCGTACCCAGGAGCGCCTCGCAAACACGTGACGAGGCCGGCCGCCGCCCGGCGTCTGTAGCTGCCGATACAGCTATATCTTGTCTGGGAAACATTCGGGTTCAAAGGTATTCAAGATGGTACTTTTTCCACTGGCATCGTTAAACAGTAAGCAAATTTGGCAAGGAAATTAAAATGCACAAAAACTATGGGAAAACGGGAGTAAAGATCAAGAATATCAAGTATGTTCAAATAGCGTTTTCGCCTGGAAGCGTTATGTTTCACCATCATGTACCTACTCGTCATTTAACGATTGCAGTGCGTTATGTTTGGCCCCCATGGGAACAACAACGAGTGGGTACATGCACTTCGATAACAAGATGCATCGGCCATTTTGATAGGCCTGACGATAAACGATAGGCCTTGCTCCTGCTTATCCTGGTTTTTGTACATTCTAGATTTGATGCTGAGTTAGGACCGGGTGTGTTAATGCCGGTGTACAAATGTTAGTGTAGAACGGTTTGATCTGATGTCCTGCTATGCGATTCGATACAAATATCTGACGGGTGAAGCGGCCTATGTGCTGATTTCGTTGGGCTGGCCGAAGTTAAGTCAAAAGATGAGACCAATCAAATCCAAAAGTGGCCTCCTGCATGCCGATAGGTATTTGTTTCAACGCTATCTGAGACTGCTGTAGTTTTTTTTGTGCAACATTACGCTCATTGCGATGTAAGGCTTTGTGCACTTTATCTCGAGGTTTCGAAACCCTCGCGCTCGACAGCCACACCACGTGAAAGAGAACCAACGTCCGGCGCTCTCAATTGTCCTAGCTCAGTGCGTGGCCATGAAGCGCGACGAATCGCCCTCCATGTAATCACACCCACCCCGCGGTCGATCGATGTCCGACTGGCGCATGGTGGTGATTTATCCGTGTAGTAGACCACTACCGGCGCAACACTCGCGAGCACGTGCATCTGTTTGGACCGGGTGCAGCATGTCTGCATCTGACTGTTGTTGGGCTTGTCGGAAGCAATGTCCAGACCTACATGGTAGAGGTGGGAATAGCGAAGGGGTGAAATCCTGCCAGCCGACTCATGAGCAAAGTGAACGATGTTTGCCCAGAAATTGTATTGTGTCTCCACGGATTCGACTTGTTTCCTATCCAGAGTAGGGCCCTGCGAACTAAGCAAGGAGTTCTGGAAGGAGGGGTCCGTTTGCAAGTCTGCGGCCCACCCCCAGTGGCGAGCGCACGAAGTAACATACAGGTTCACTTACCCCTGCATCACCAATTTTCTACGCTCAAAATGTGCGTGAATACATGCTGACAGTTATAAACTTGAGGTAAACTAGTAAAACTAGAAACATCGGGAACACGCGATGTTGCTTTACTCCATGAAACGTATTGAGAGTGTCTGCGGCGCGCCAGCCCGGCTTTTCATTGCAATTTTTTAGCTCTGCCCTTCGCACTGAGGGTTTTTCCGCACACATGACCCCACTTCTAACTGTGCATAGAGGACGCCGCCTTGGACTGCGCTTTGATCTAACGTTTGAGGCCATGCAATGTAATTGCATGCATACGCGGAACGTAAGCCATACGCAGAATACAGTTTAAAACAGTCCAAAATTCAGACAGCTGCCCTGCATTGCAAGTGTTTCATTTACAAACTCGGCTTATGGTAGCAATACGGCCAGTCGTATGTTTGGCCAATGGCTGAATGCATTATGTTTGGCCAATGTAGTCGTATGTTTGGCCAATGGCAGAACTATCATAGATATTCCCAGGAATATGCTTCGCTTGGTGTTATGATTTATCACCCACTGACATGCGCGCTGCTGAACACAATTTTTGAGCCATCACACCTGACTGTCGCCGGCGACGGCTGACTGCTGCGACTTCTCTGCAGCAGCCAGCCGTGTTGCGACTTCTCGGCAGCAGTCAGCCGTGCTGCGACTTCTCGGCAGCAGTCAGCCGTCGCCACATTGCATGCTTCTAAAACGCATCACTTTCTGCCACGTCTGAGGGAATCTGCAAACTCACATGCATGCCTGCATCCACTTAAAGTTACCTTCATCCTTTGAATCCTTGGACGCTGTGACGACCACAAGCGAGGACGATTCTCTCTTTAAAAAGTTAACGGGATCAGTGCATTTTTGCCCACTGTTAGATTTTATAAGATGATTTAAAGATTAATGCACCGAGGCTTGTCACTCGCAGAAGTTGAGGATCAAATATATCAGAAACATTTTAGACGTGGAGGGCCGGTAAAAGGAAAGGGTCTATGCCTTTACGTACCCGCCATGACTTTTGGTGATCTGCTCCCGCATTTTGAAATATCTTCGATGGAAGAAAATAAAGCAAGCGTAAATGATAGCCTAGTAACAGGTAGCCCGGTTTCTGAAGCGCAGGGAACGCAATCCCTATATCTGTGTAACCAATGTCAAAAGCAGCTGCATACTCGTACAGATCACGAAAAAAGTAAATATATAACGTTGCAATAGCAGGTACGAATAGCAGCAACTTGATCTGTAATTGTGGTAGTGGCCCCGATAGTTCCCTATGGGCTCATTACCCTGGTCTTAGGAAATTCTGAACAATCTTGCATCGAGATTGGTATCCCTCCACACGACTGATGTATATTTCAAAGGCGTGGGATACCTATTTGGTCCAGCTGGGAGCCTTGCCACGACACCATTTATCAAGGGAGAGCGGCTAGAAGCTGACGTGATGACGCGAGCCGCGGTGTCAGCGGGCTCGGTCACCGTCTCTTCGCTTGCACGCCGCGCCTGTGGCGAGGCGCTCGCACGTGACACTGATTCTGGGCGCGCACCTGACACGTGACACGTGATTTCTGGGTGCGGCGCTGACCAGCCGGCCGTCACTGTGGCGCTAGGGCCAGTGACGGGCGATGCGGTCAGCCCACCCGATGCGGCTAATGCCGTCCCCGGCCGCGTCTGTCGCTGCTGCAGACGACAGTGAAGTCGCTGGAGGAGCTGGCCCGCCAGTCGCGCATCGAGTACACGGTTGTAGCCAACTCCTCCATCCTAGAGTACTTCCAAAACATGGCCACCGCTGAGGAGGAGCTGTTTAGGTGAGCTGCGCGCCGCCGGCCGACCTCACAGCCAGCTCAGGGGCCGACCGGTACATCGCCAACGGTGTGGTGACGTCATCACCAGCGCTGTGGTGACGTCACCAGCATTCCCAAGCCGCTTGGGCTCCGTGAAAGGCCTTCGTGAGAACAGGTTGTGTCCATAATGCGTACGGGTTTTTTGCATGCCTATATATGGGCGCATCGTCATCGATGTCATACGTTTGTGCTCTCGCATTAAGTCGTGCTTTGCTTTGCTCTTCTTTTACATGGGTTTTCGGCGGGCTGTTGAAAATGTCTGCGCATGATTTCGCCGAAATCGAGTTTCACGTCGTCCCCCAATAAAACACGCTATATTTGGGTAAGCCTTCACTTATGAGTTTCTGTGGCTTTACATCAGTCACGATTTTCCTTCCCGACGTCTCGGCCAAGAACAAGATTCCACTGTGCCCTGCTCTCGCGGCTTCAGCTCTGTTCGCTGTGTGAACGCCAGCTGCTTGCCCAACCATGACCGCGGGCTGAATGCTGCCCCACTGTCGCATGTGCTCCACCCCGGTCCTCCACTGGAAAAGCCCGCAGCGAGGAAGTGAGCCGCATGCACGTGGCCCATCTTTGCACGGTTTTGGCAGCCGTTACAGTCCGCAAAAGACTTCAGACGCATTTTGGTAAAGCATCGCATATATCCATGTCGGGACATAGTAGCTGGTACGTATATTTTGTGGGAGACTTCAGCTTCATTTGGTTAGGTATCGCATATAGTTATGTTCCGATGTGTTCTGTGGTAATTTCGCTACGAACATAGACGTTTATGTTGCAGAAAGCACTGAATGCGTCCGCTGATTCTACAGTTTGATATGATCATTTGACCAGAAATCACCGTCTTTGATCCAAATTTCAAAGCGCCATTTCGCTATTTGAAACTTTACCACCACTCTCGGATGCGTAAATGGTGTTACCTCCACTGATGTGCAACGCATCGCAATGTCGGCTCTGCCCTGACTCGCTGAGCCGGCCACCACAGAGTGTGGAAGGAGATGACGCTCAACTCCACCACGGACCAGGCCAAGTACCGCGTTTGGGACTACCCCATAAAGGAGCAATACACTCACATCCTCAACGTCATCAAGAAGACGGGCATGGTGCGAAACGACAGTGTCGGCTTCGATAAGGTTTGTCTCGGCTACGGCTCTCTTCTCCCGACCTTGGCCGGGGAGGTATTGGTGTCAGCTTTGTCAGCCTACCAGGAAGATGGTCACTGATAACGGAGGTGGATTTATTACCTTCAAAATCACTCCGCACCCCTGTCTGTTCGAAGCCCATGGAATAATCTGATAGAACATGCATCCCCCATCCAGGAAAGCGAAGGTCTATTTCCGTCCACGGTTTCCATAATCGTCGGCTAATTGTTGGCAGCTGGTTGACCGGATTGACAGCTAGTCGTTAACTCTGCGCTAACCGTCAGTCTCACCGAGCTTGAATCGCCGCTACCCAGCCGTCGCACAAACGCACCCACGCCATCGCTGCGCCGGCAGGTTCTGGCCAATAAAAAGGGGGAGTACGCCTTCATCCACGACGCCTCGATCGTACGCTACGAGGTGTACCGCAACTGCAACCTGACCCAGGTGGGCGAGCCGTTCGCCGAGCAGCCGTACGCCTATCGCCGTCCAGCAGGGCAGCCATCTGCAGGACGAGATCAGCAAAAAGTACGTACGGTGGACGCTGAGCTTGCAGTGCGGAACAGTCCACGGCCGTCGTGTGTGTGTGTGTGTGTGTGTGTGTGTGTGTGTGTGTGTGTGTGTGTGTGTGTGTGTGTGTGTGTGTGTGTGTGTGTGTGTGTGTGTGTGTGTGTGTGTGTGTGTGTGTGTGTGTGTGTGTGTGTGTGTGTTGTGTGTGTGTGTGTGTGGTGTGTGTGTGTGTGTGTGTGTGTGGGTGTGTGTGTGTGTGTGTGTGTGTGTGTGTGTGTGTGTGGTGTGTGTGTGTGTGTGTGTGTGTGTGTGTGTGTGTGTGTGGTGTGTGTGTGTGTGTGTGTGTGTGTGTGTGTGTGTGTGTGTGTGTGTGTGTGTGTGTGTGTGTGTGTGTGTGTGTGATAGTTTGAATGGAGTGCATGCGATCCATTTGTCGGTAGCATCGGTCAACGTGTCTGTCGCTTAGTAATCATATTTACGTGTATCATTACACACATATTATAGTAATCGTGTGTTTATTGATCTAAATTGGGTGGTACTCGACTGATCTGGACCTACCCCGCGACAGGATAATGCGTTTCGTTGCATACGGAGACGTAATCACACATTTACGATGAATGAGACACGGAAACAACTCATCTGTGGTCCAATCTGCATTGGGGCAAAGCATAAGAATAACAGAACCTTCCAGATGTCATTGGATGTGAACTCCGCGGGTCCCGGTGCTGGTTAAGCCGGCTATTATGTGCAGGTATAAGCGCCCAGCGCCTATGAGAACAGACCATCAGTACGCGCCATATATTTAAACAATGCAAAGATTCATTATCATGTTAAACCATCGCTTACATAATTTTGTCCCCTTCCTCTCCGGCCTTGATACTGCCATTGCTACACAGCCATAGCGAGTGTTTCCAATCCATCGGTACTCAGGCGTGGGTGCCTATAGACATCAGTCCAGCGAAGCGCCCAGCGAACCCCGCACCAATGACTATCTACCCGTGGCGGCCTGGCCATGTCCGCAGTATTCTGGAACTGCAGAAGGACCGCTACTTCGAAGCTCTGACTGCCAAGTACTGGAACGCATCCCTCAGAGGGGACTGCCCCAGTCGCGGCGACAGCGAGGGCATCACGCTACACAGTCTGGGTAAGGGCCACCTCACCGGCGGGAAAAACGTCACCGATGCGCTCAGCTGATGCAAGTGATAGAACCAAGGCAATTTCGTCTATTAACAAGGCGAAAACACGCAGGTGAAGACTGCACGATGACTGATAGAGTTTCCTGTTTATTTCTATTGGATGTTTTCGGGTTTATTTTGCACTGCAAAGTTACTGCATGCGGAATCTCTATCTATGCATACTATTTTCATCTTTTACCGCAGTGGTAGTGGTAAATACATCCTCTGCTGTCTGTTCGTCTTTGAAAACATTGTTTTAAACATTGAAACACTATTAGTCCGATTTTAATGGATTTAATTGAGTAGACATCAGCTTTCGGTGATTGGTATGCATTGACCTGATGCTATGTATGCTGGTTGGTGTGTTCTTTGAACGTTCTTCTGCCAAATCGGTTGCCATAATTCTCTTAGAATGTTCTCTGTTATTGGAGCCTTGCGAGACGATTTCAGAGTTTCCACATCATCCATACGATACAATCATCACGTGTATTACCAGGAAATGATACGAGAACAACACGTGCACAAGAACAAAACACTTGCCAAAAAATGGTTGATGAGGTATCATATCGATTAGAACAAGCCACTGTCAGCTGGAATCTCCCATCTAAAATGTCAAAGCAGGGAAGTGCTTGAATCCCACAAATCTCCTTGTTGGCGGCTGCTTGAAAATGAACGTAAAGCGGTTCATTGGTGTCTCAACCGCACCAGCTAAAAGCTGCCGCAGTGTCTGAGCCAAAGTGTCGTAACCATTGCTGATACGCCTGACGGAAGAGGGTGTCAGGATTTTACAATTACCATCGTGATGCGGAAATAAATGTACTGTAAGTGTACAGAGAGCACACGACCTTATTGTTATGATGATGTCGATTACTCGTGACCTGAACGCCTGCCTTCATGCCCGTACATCACGTGCCTTCATGCCCGTACATCACGTGCCTTCATGCTCGTACATCACGTGCCTTCATGCCCGTACATCACGTGCCTTCGTGCTAGTACATCACGTGCCTTCGTGCTCGTACATCACGTGCCCTCGTGCTCGTACATCACGTGCCTTCATGCTCGTACATCACGTGCCTTCATGCTCGTGCATCACGTGCCTTTATGCTCGTGCATCACGTGCCTTCATGCTCGTACATCACGTGCATTCATGCTCGTGCATCACGTGCCTTCATGCTCGTGCATCACGTGCCTTCATGCTCGTACATCACGTGCCTTCATGCTCGTACAACATGTGCCTTTATGCCCGCACATCACGTGCCTTCATGCCCGTACATCACGTGCCTTCGTGCTAGTGCATCACGTGCCTTCATGTGCCTTCATGCTCGTACAAAATGTGCCTTCATGCTCGTACACCACGTGCTTTCATGCTCGTACATCACGTGCCTTCACGCCCGTACATCACGTGGCTTCATTCCCGTTCATCACGTGCCTTCATGCCCGCATATCACGTGGCTTCATGCTCGTACATCACGTGCCTTCATGCCCGTACATCACGTGCTGGTCATGATGCGATGCTGGCGTGTTGCCGCAGGCGGAGTGTTCATCGCCACCCTGGCCGGGCTCGTGCTGGCTCTCATTACGCTAGCCGGCGAGGTAGTCTACCACAAGAACAAGGCCAACACCCAGGTCACCAGCATGGAGCAGAAGAAAGTGGGCGTGTCCGTCATCAACGTGAACCCGCACAAGGACTGAGCGCCCCCCCCCCCCCCCTGCACCCAGATAGCGCACCTGCGTTGGGTACTTCTCGTTGTAGAAGCAACTGCTGCTGGCCGTTGTCAGCGACACAGGGGCTTCATGACCAACGGAGAAGCTATTACCACAAAGCCTCATTATCGTTGATTGTTGGCATGGAAGGTATCATATATTGTAGGTGGTAGTTAAGGGAGCCAGAAATATAGTCCTCGAATGGAATGATGTCAATTCCAATAGGCTCACCGGTCCAAGGCTTGTCATGTGTTTGCGCACGCTTGAAGCAGATGATTAATGTCAGACACTCTGTGCATTTCGAAGTTGTTTTCGTGCATCGGTCGTATGCTCACTCTAAAATATTCTAGTGGCTCATGAAAGTGCGCTGATCTAGAGGTGTCGTGTCTCAACACGAACAATAAGTTCGCTTTGAAAATGCTTTGAGGTATTAAAAAGCATTGTATTTGTCTGAAAGCCATTCAAATCCGTAAATGTCGACTCTTTTTAGCTTTATATTTGATTACATATTGACCCTGCCTTTGATATTCAGATTCGTCTGCGTGTACGGGTGCTATATATGCGGTCATCGTTGAAACGCCATTGGGCTTTTTGATATCTTTCAGTTAAGTGATACGGATGAAATCATACTATTTTCGATCAAAAACATTTCGTTACGCTTTGTACATTAATTTACACTCGCTGCCGTAGTTTAGGTTTGATAAACTTCTAAAATCTGAAATACAGTATTTTATCCAAGGAAGGTGGCGTTCATACCCTGCACGTAAGCCGTCGTAACCAACAACATTTACCTATCGCTAGCACCATAATTGGTTTTTAGGGCATTCTTTACAAGCCAATAAAGGTGCAGAAACAACAGAACAACTGTCGTGTAAATTCTTCCTTAAATGTAATCATTTTCTTTCGTGGCCAACGGTCGATGCACAAATTTCATAAAGATGGGAGGCATGGCCACTCGTCCCCTGCCTGTTCCCACTTTTATCTGGCCCAGCATTTCCTGATGGCGGGCAATGCCGGGTATCACTGGCCCGAGCCCGGCTCCTACGCCACCGGTACCTCTAGCACGGGCCCGGCTCCCGCACCGCCGACGCTGGTTCGGTATTGACTGTGGGTACCGCGTCGCCAGAACGCCTCTCTATTTATGATGGTTCTTTAACCAGTGTGCGTAACTGAAACGGAGCGGATGTGACCTGATCTAGAAACACTGCAAATGGCCATTATTAGTGACTGTTATTTCACTATCTGGTCACTTTTAGTGACAACGTGCCGAGAGGCGCGATCGCTAGGCTAGACATGAATGCCTTATAGTAGGCAGCATTCAGATTTTCGACGCAGGAATCATGCATAGTCGTGTTTGTTTTGAACAAATCAAGATTGTATGTGCCTTGGGTGGAGGTGACTGCTTTTGACAGCAAAGGCTTTATGAGCGATGTTGACGGTGCCTGACTGAGGCTTGCTCCTCGAAAAGAAAACGGTCGTTAGCATGTTGTCGAATTCTTTGTGTTCTGCTGCCAGCATAATTAGAACTTAATGCACACCCATCGGTTCGAGCAGAAGATACACAATTAGCATGCATGTTTCGGATGACCTGGTCCAGATCAGAACACTAACAAGACATACACGCTACATCAGTTGCTAAATATTGCACAATAACACAATTACCTCCATTTAAGGGACGCTTAATGGCAGCGAACAGTTGCGTCGAACATGTGGTATTCCCTTGGGCCATGGCAGTGAGCGCATCTATTGAAGCTGGAACACGTTGCATTGATTGCACTCGCACATGTTCGATTCCGCGCAGGACACCAGGACGTTCCGTTCCGTGATTGTCGATACCAACCGTGTTTGTCAGGACCGATACTGTTTGTGAATGGACAGTTCGTCCTGCCTGACGGCGAAGAGCATAGATTGTACTGCGGTTTGTGGGAAGACACACAACGGCTACCTACGCGTGGTAATCAGCATCGCGTGATATAAAGTATTGATGCGACAGCTGCTGGGCGAAAACGGGAGGCCCGAATGTGATTGTGAAAGCAGCGAATGTAGTTCTGTAAGCGCTGTTTTATCCAGGCAAGGCCGGGGCATTCAGCAGCAGTTGTGATGATGTCTTGCGGCTGTCCGGAAGATATGGCATACTTTGGACGTCTAAAATACACAGCTCATCGAGACGCCGTGTCATTTCCTTTAAAAAAATAAAACCATCCTCCAGACAGCGGGCTGCATGCAGAACGCAGCGCAATTACGATCTGTCAAAGCATCGAACCTAGCTACCACAAGTCGTTGCGAGTCGGAAAAGTTAGTAACGGTTCCAATGTTGCGTTGTGCCGAAGCAATTTAGACGTCTGCAGCATTAACAGACTCCAGCACCAGTCACCCAGGTTTCGGTAGCTATGCTTCGCCGCCAAAAGCACGATGCAGGCGAAACAGAAACAGAGATGGCTTGCGTCTGACGGAATTCCCTAGGGCCTGGAGTCGCGGTTGTCGTCATGCATGTTGGCATGACCCACATAACGGCGATGCTGCCAATAAGCCGTGTTCCAAGCAGGTCGCCGGCACGGATCGGGTTGCTATGGTGACAGCGGCGTGGCGCCATCGGAGTCGGTTGAGCCCTGCGTCCGCCGGCGCTGATCGCGGTCGACGGCGTCGTCGGTGTCGGCAGCGCCAGTGTCCCAGCAGGGACGGTGTAGGGCGGGTGGGGCACACGGCTGATGGTGGCACGGGCTGACCTACCCAGATCCGAATGGCCGCATCCCTTCTAGCGATCTGCGATAAGGATATGCGATTGGTGAGTGCGCGGTCGGAAAAAGCGTTGGTGTACCTCGATTCCCAGGTGTAGCTATGCTTTTGGGCGTTTGTGTAAGAATTGCATGACAGCATGAGCAGCATGTTTTCGGGCCAGGTCGGGTCGGGGGAACTGAAGATTTCACCGTCACTCGAGTGAGCTCGCAGTAGCTCGTAGTAACCTGTGCAGTTTGAGGTCCACGTGACCAGACCTGCAGTCAATTACGGGCCCGGACAGAGGTTGTCCGGGTGTTGCCGTGTGGGGAAAAGTGAAATCCAGAGAAATGAGACACAGCCTGCCCTCCGCCTGCCGACCCAATATCAAAGTGCATAAGGACTGGTGTTCGCCGCCCCCTCCTCAGTCGATGAGAACGACTCCGGCCAGCACTCGCTCCAACGCCCGCCCTCGGTTCTCCACTGAGATCCTTTCCTTCTCCTCCTCTTTGTATTATTGTATGATGAATCGAACGTTGACTGCGCGACGGACGAAACTGGGCACAGATCGAGTCTTATATTCACTGAGGGTACCAAACTTCGAAGCCGATGTACGTTCGCACCGACAATGTGTCATTGACAGATTTACTGCCAATGATTGGCTTACATTATTGCCATGACTTGTTATTATTCAAAAAGCAAGTCGACATGTACGTTTTCCACGTAAACCCATGATTTCCACCTTACCTGAGTAACCGAAACCGGGGTGGCAGTAGTTGTAAAAAGATAGTCATTGATAAGAACGGCAAATGTTTGTCATGTCGCAATCACGACGAATTACGAAATGGCAAATACGAGTGCATTTGGTCTAAATGTCGTGACGTATTCAGCCCGCCTGCGACGCAACTTACTCAGTGACAACAAGACGAAACCAAAACATAACCATTACTTCCACCAACATGTAACGCAATTTGCCCTAAGGTGGGACAGGTTGTCCCATTTAAGGGGATACCATTCAGAAGTCATTTATAAAAAAAACGAAGACGCGCTCTACAAAAACTACCGCTACGTATGAAGCTGAAGGCTACAGCTTTCTGCAGATATAAGAATCTTAGTCATATCCACTCTATTTATGGGAGAAGGGAGCTCAGAGTAAAAACTGATGCAACTCTCTGCCCAAGCGGGTAAGTTGTGCACTGCGCGCCACGCCGCCGCGCGCCACCCCTCTCGCCGCCCATGCGTGGCTCCTCGGCAGGCACCGAGCGCCACGACGCCGCGCGTCACCCCTCTCACCACCCATGCGTGGCTCCTCGACAGGCACCGAGTGCCGCGCGGTCCCGCGCCACCCCTCGCCGCCCAAGCGTGGCTCCTCGGCAGGAACCGAGTGCCACGCCGCCCCCCACCCCCTCTCGCCGCCCAAGCGTGGCTCCTCGGCAGGAACCGAGTGCCAAGCCGCCGCACGCCACCCTTCTGGCCGCTCAAGAATGGCTATTCAGCAGGCACTGAGTGCCACGCCGGCTGGAACCGAGTGCCAAGCCGCCGCACGCCACCCCTCTGGCCGCTCAAGAATGGCTATTCAGCAGGCACTGAGTGCCACGCCGCCGCGCGCCACCCCTCTCGCCGCCCATGCGCGGCTCCTCGGCAGGCACCGAGTGCCGCGCCGTCCCGCGCCACCCCTCTCGCGCCCATGCGTGGCTCTTCAGGAGGCGCGCTCCATCACCTCTGCGCTGACTCGGCGTCATACAAGTTATCTGCGCAGCGTGGCTTGTCATCGGCTCCGGTTCGCGCTCAGGAGCGCTCGTGCGCTGGCCTGGACCGTGGGGCGGCACGCAATGTGTGACCGACGCAGAGACCAGCACGCATCCGTGGGAAGCTGAGTACGGACCGGCACAAATAGCGGACATAATGTGCTGTGGCAGCTCCAGGCTCCCGCGTGTCTTACCTGTCATGGCGTTACCTGTCACGTCTTCACGTCCCGTGGGCATCACGTGGGTGCCAACTCGGCTACTCTTTTGCCCGAGTGTAGGGGAGATAGGGAGAGTTGCATCAGTTTTTACTCCGAGCTCTCTCATACCGTCAGTACTGAGTATGACACTAAGATATTTAAATCTGCAGAAAAAAAAATGTAACCTTCACGTGCATATGCAGTGGATAAAGTTTGGCGACTACGTTTTCACCTTATGGTAAATGGCCTCTGAATGACCCCGTTTAAAAGGATACAACCTTCCCCACCTTGCGGCAAATTGCATCACATGCTGAGGTGAGACCTATTGATTATTTGAATGGAGTAGGCTGCATTGCAAGCAAACTGTACGTGTTACGACATGTTAACAAGGGACGATCAGCTCTGCTGTTTCGTGATCCGTGATTGCAACATGCCCAATATCCGCTCTTTCTAATCAGCCAGTGTTTCTTTTACAACTACCGCCTCTTTGGTTTCGGTTGCTCAAGCAGAGATTATGAGTCGTCATAGGCCGACTCATGTGCCGACTCGTTGTCTGGACAACACTGAGCCATGAAATCATGTCATTCAATATTTGACAGCAGAACAGCCAATGACATCATTGTCGGCACATTGTATCACTGATACAGCATGCCCCATGCACAGCTGATACGCCATGTTAACACCCGGCATTCTGGAAGAAAGTTCGCCACCCCGAAATGCTTGGTGCTAAATGTTTTGCAACATATGAGGCGCATGTACATATACACAGATTTACACTGATCGTTAGAGTCTTCAGCGACGTGCGAAAAACAAATTTGTCGCCCCCTTACTCCGGGAAGTCATGTGCACGTGTGCAGCTGGAAGTGCACTGAAAGATAAAGGGCGCTGCTGTGCGTTACCTGAGTGACTAAGACCGGCATCTGTCAAATAAATTTAAAATAAATCACCCTGATATTTCTTAGACACGCTGCAACCCACCCCACCCTCTCCTAGATAAAAAACCCTCTCCAACATGTCTGCTCAAGGAAAGGTAATCATGTTGGGTGTGGCACCCAAAACTGTCGTGTCGCGGCGTATCGGAACGTGTCGGAGGTGACACTTTCGACACGGAATATACGACCCTGGGGTTACGGTGCCGCAGGAGGAACGACGTGACGACACGATGAAAGCTGGCAAATGTCAATGACCACCCGTCCTCACTTTCAGCGACGCACCTGTGTTACGACGCATCCGACCGATGCTGCTTGAGCTTTAGGCCCACCTTCTGGATAACAGACAGCATGGCGTTCAAGTTGGACGATATTCTGAACGAGAAGAAGGGCCCGCCTCCCGCCCTCGATTTGTCCAAGGCACGAATGCAAACGAAGGAAGATTTTGACAAGGTGTTTGAAAAAGTTCCAGACTCCAAGATAAAGCCAGAGAAGGTAAAAGTCTATATTAAAAGCTTGTGTTGTGTACTTCCCCTAAGCCGTCGCATGTAAGCAGGCAGCCAAGAGTTCCTGCCCCCCCCCCCCCCTCTATCCCTGTGAGGCAAAGTGATGCATGCAAACACCAGAAAACGTTTCATGTACAGCACATGTACATTACATTTTGCTACGATGAGTCATTCCAGGTTTGTTTACATTTGTTGCAAGTCATCCATATGTTCACACTAGATTTTACATATTTGAAGAAATGTGCCTATTTCCGACTCGCAATACAGTCCCTCGTAAGTTCAAGAAGACCCACGATTGGGATATCACGTGACATTAAATGCCATAGACGAGAGCCGGTCAGCGTTGCGATTCGTGGATAGCGCAATTTCTCTGCCAATGGCTCGTCAAAGTAACGTCTGTTCTCTATTTCTCATGTCTGGGACTTTATATAGCTATGTTGGAACGCAGAATTGTTTCCCTGGATTAACCGCTTTCACCGCTGACCTCTGCGACATGTCGTCATCCGGCAGACGACAGGGTATCCCTTCTGAGCTTTGGTAGGAGCGCAGTTGATTATAATACCCTATCCTGACGTAGGACCACAGGTCCACTTAGCCCCCTTACCAGTCGCGGGACAGAAGGTGACGACTAAATGCCCGTGTAACCTGACCTTTGGCAGGAGCACCTCTGATAACTTGGCAACGGTGGGAGCGCAGCTCGCCCCTCGCCCGGTCTGATCCCCAGCGGGACCACGGCTGACCCTCGTATTAGCAGTTAAACTGAAGGACTTTTCTGACCGCTGGAGGCCCTCTGATCAGCGATTAGACTGATGGACTCTTCTGACCGCTGGAGGACCGCAAGGCGCAGCTAGAGGATAGCCAGGTGTCGGGCGCCGTGGTGATCTCCTCTGACCGGTGTCCATCCCTCACCAGATGCGGCTCACCGGCCTGTCTCGGGAGCCGTAATGATCCCCTCTAAACAATGTCCATCCCTCATCAGATACGACTCGCCGGCTGTCCAGGGAGCCGTAATGATCCCGTCTGATCGGTGTCCATCCCTCATCAGATACGGCTCGCCGGCTGTCTAGAGAGCCATAATGATCCCCTCTGACCGATGTCCATACCTCATCAGGTGCTACTCGCCGACTGTCTCTGGAGCCGTAATGATGCCATCTAACCGATGTCCACCCCTCATCAGGTGCGGATCGCCAACTGCAGTGTCTCGAGAGCCGTGATGATGCCTTTTGACCGGTGTCCACCCCTCATCAGGTGTGGCTCAACGACTGCAGTATCTCGGAAGCCGTGATGATCCCCTCTGGCCAGTGTCCATCTCTCATCAGGTGCGGTTCGCCGACTGCAGTGCCTCTGAAGCTGTGATGATCCCCTCTGATCGGTGTCCACCTCTCATCAGGTGCGGCTCGCGGACTGCACCGTCTCGGGAGCCATGGTGATCCCCTCTGACCGGTGTCCATCCGTCATCAGGTGCGGCTCGCCGACTGCACTGTCTCGGGAGCGGTGCACTTCCGCAGCTCGCGGGTCGAGCGGCAGCCGGTCCAGTTCGAGTACCCCGACCCCACGCCCATCAGCATGGCCGGCGTCAACCTGGACGACCTCTGCAACGTTGACATCTCCTGGCGCATGCTGACTATGGCGCGGCCCAAAAACAAACAGCAGGAGGAATACTTCTCAAAGTGAGGAACCAACATAGTGTCGGCTTCACGTGCTACACGCATAGCTGCGTTAAGAGGACAAAATAGGGCACGTCTCCCCAGTTACATCCCAATATGCCCCTAATGGTCCCACGCCACAACTTGCAGAAAAATGCCACTTTCCGGATACAGATAACAAACGCACCCAAGTACCAACATCGCGTACCGTAAGTTTCTTTTTTCCCGGATTGCTTACAAACCCCTTGAATGCATGAAGAACTCAACAGAACCGTCAGCATGATTGAAAAAAACATCGGAATATACTTAAGGACGTTTTAGAGTGTTTTCTTGTGTTTCACAACACAAGGGAAGAAATGAAGAATAACTGAAAGGCAAACAATAGCAATGCATTATTTAAAACAATAAATAGAACAGCCAAACAAGATATGAGAAACAGGACGAATCAACAAAGGCATGCAAACAGCAAATACTGACCAGAAATACCACGACTAGCCACACTAACCGTGCTGCTGACACTGAGTTAGGGTGCACACTAAACCCAGTAACAATGATAATGATGATTTATTTGGCATAATGTATACATGGTGGTCTTTCACTTAAGCACGTCATGAGAAACAAAACATGCAAGACACATAATTAAAAGGCAATCATGCTACTGGAACGGGAACACACCAACATCAATAACATATAGGCATGCATTGCAAAAATTACAAGTCCGAGTTTGTTTAGCTGAGTGGGCATTATGGCCTGTTCCACATAGGGTGAAAAGCCGGCGCTCGAAGGTCGACGCCATGCCTATTTCACTGTCATACGCCCCGGTAGCGTGGGCATCGCCTTTCCCTTTCTGTGTGCATTTTCGGGAGCGACTGGCAGTCGGCACGTCTCGGGTCGTGCTGGTGCCTCTGATTTGCACGCTGCCCGCTCGTGCATTGCACGCTCTCAGGCAGCTTGGTCTTGACAGATAGATAGATCGCTCTCAGGCAGCTCGGTCTTCGTTCCAAAGTGTCCGATGTGTGGTCACTTCGTCTCCTGCTTGTTACCAACCGTGTACAGCGATTTGCTGTCTCGTGCACGTGATGCACCGGGGTATCGCTACAAAGAGGTGCATACAGATGAGCAGTACATGACTAAAGACGAAACCAACACCTGCATCATGTAAGTTAAAGTCGCATTTGAGGTCACGTGTCGCGCGTGAGACAAAAGTACTCCGGTGCATGAAGGGTCACCGTGCAGATGTACCTGGAAGTTGAGGCCACGGTCAATAGTGACTCCGATATCTCTGACTGATGTGCAGGTAGGCACTTCTATACCCTAGAAGCTCAGTGTGACTGGCGGCAAGTTTCTCCGCATCACTGGAGTGCCGATCCCTAATAAATGTGTCGTTTGTGTGCTTAGCCTCGTACCATCGTGGAAAAACCATGGATACGTGGTGGTGAGCGGTTGTTCTATCCTGGCCATTAGACGCTACATGCCGATATCTCTCCCACTGACGAGAATCTACATGTCATTCGCGATTTGGGTGCCAGTGACGTCATCGGACACGCAAAGGCTCAAGTCGGCGATGAACAGCATGAATATGGTGCAGCTCAGAGCGGCACCCTAAAAACAAACTACGACTGAGTTTTTTCCCGGCCTGACATGGAGGAGGGGGAGGGGGCGAGCCGCCTGCTCAATGCACCTGAACCAGCTGCGTGTAGCCGACCTAGACGCTTCGGAACCAAACCGTGTCAACACCGTACAATAAAAATTTGCAAGCTATTTGCCGTGAGGCAAACCATCACAGGATTTCGAAATGTGTAACAAGATAAGAATTTCGCCTTTTTCCATGGCCTTAACTGCTTTGTAAGTGATGGTGTGAAGCGCTGATTCCGTGGAAAACTTTTTACGGTAGCGCATCGGGTGTCGACAATTTTCACGCCATTTTTAACTCAGACACAATTTTCTGTTTTCCAGATGGAGCGACAGTTGTTTTTGAACCGGCCGTTCTACCAGTTTCGTAATGGTTGGTAGAGTCGATTTTGGACGCGTTTTAATTGGGCTTTACGAGGCTTTCCACTTGACAATTGGCGTAACGAGTGTATGTTTCCAGTTTCCATGCTTGGAAAATAATGCATGTGACCGCGCTGGAGTTGATAATGTCCATTAAGATAGGACAGGACCCAAATGAACATTTTTGGAGCATCCCCACGATAATGCCGTCTACATCAATCGAGGTGGATGGTTTCATTGATCGGAGGATTGCACGCAACATTTCCCATATCGATCGATGGCACCTTAACCGTGTTTGACGTCACACGAGGCAGGTGCGTTGGCACTGGCGCTGTCGCAGCCGTTACGCTGGCATAGCTGTGGTAGGGCCGATTGCGACATAACAGGCGTTAAGGGATCCGGTGCAATGGTGAGCGCTACTGCTGTTTGCGGGTTATCACGGGCCGGAGCACTCGGCACAGACTCCTGCAGTTGCCCCGGGCTGTCTCCCGCTCTCACAGCGGCCGCCAGTCACTGCGGACGACGGTGCGACACAGCCGGGTCACGCCCTCATGCCCGGGGCGATGGTTTGCCGCCAGCCGACCGCGCGGCGCCGCCGCAGCTGCTGCTGGACTTCTGTAGTCGTAGTCAGAGTGGTGTGCTGCCTGGCACGCGTGCGTACCAGGCAGCCGTTGGACCGAGGCTACCACTTCAAACTGTTGCAGAAATATTCGCTGGAATGCGTGCCACTTCATGACAGGCGCATCAACATAACCACTGCCAGCGGCGTCCGATCAGCCAGGGACAGCGGGTAGTTAAATGCGTTAACGGCAGCTTTGCCAGTGCATTGACGTAGCGCCTCAGAATGTGTGAATGCTTCTTGGTTATCGAGGCGCCTGATGACGCGCCTGAAATCGCGTGGGCCGCCATGATGACACTGCGCACGAGATCGGGACGATTGGTAGTAATCCCAGTCGGCGTCTGTCCGGTCTCGTGGGTTTCGTCGGGTGGCCCCCGGGGCGAGTCGCTCGTATGGCCAGCCATCTTCCAGAACAAGTTGTTGCTCGGTCGAGCCCAACCGGTGTATGCTAGGTCAAGCGCGTCGGCTTGGCCAGCATGCGAGGCGAGTCGCTCTCGTACTATCGCTCTCGCTCTCGCTCGTACATGGCTTGTTCAATTAGTTTGTATGCATACAGTCTTCAGGGCCACTCATAGCAACGCAAAAGTGCTTTCAAATCGCAAATGACGTCTGTTTTCAAGCAGATCGGTTCCCTGTTTATCGTCTGGGCTTGTCGCTCAACACTTGTATTGCTCATATATGTTGTTTTTTTAGAGAACCGCGCGATGTGGTAACCTGCGCAGTAGCGGCACATTTGAGTCATAGTTTGTTGCTTCACTTGTGACGGTGATGAGGGCCATCTATGAATAGCGCTACTCATTTTTTGACCATTTCATTACCCCACCCCTTGTTACGCACCGGTTACGCGGGGCGTCACGCTCCATTCCCCTAAGTACGCCGTGTTAATGATTATGTCCCAACAAAGTAATGTCCGTTCGGCCCCCAAGGAATCTACAAGTGGGAAACAAGGCGAGTGTGCTGCTTGTCGCGAGAATAAGTCAAGGCATACGGCTTTCAGTTTTTAAAACATTTAAGACACTTCAGCATGATTTGCAACCACACCTATAGGTAACGCTAGGTTCTTCATGGCCCCATGTTATGCTTCGAGTACGTCCCATGAAACGCCCTCCCTTTAATGCGTAACGTAATAAGGAATGGCTCCTTAGCTTCATGGCTGCGTGGGTCTTCGCGCCCGAGTTCGTTTCTTCACGCGCTACGAATCGTATTCACTTTACCTCGTTATGATGCTATTTGATTCAATCGGGTTCGTGTCAACATCAGCCACGAACAATGTCGCTGTTAACGAATGGCGAGTAGTACGTACGTTGGCGTTACATAAGCCGAGTTGGTCGGTGCCGCCATGAAGTCATAATCCCATCCAAGGCCGGCAACTGGCGGCCAGTTGGCTGAATAAAATATGAAGGGCTTATTGCAAGCCACTGGACCCTGATATAGATATCTACCCTTGATAATGTTAGGATTATTTAGCATAAACGTTGGAGATGAAAAATTTGAGGATGTAGTTGACAACATTTTTGACGATAATACGTTGCCATTATTTTGGCAGTATTTTAGGTGTGCTTTTTGTTTTACGTTATCAATGCTATCTGATTCGTCACTTTCGTATTTTTATCGCCAGCAGCTTTATATGTGTGAGCTAGCAGGCTGTGCGGGCGTCACGCGTGTGCCTGCCCAGCTTTCTCAGCTTTGGGATTGTTTGCAGTTGCCGTAACTGTAAGGCCCTAACAATACCCTATCACAATTGCGCAGTGTTTGGCAAAGCCGCTTCGCTCTGCTTTTGCCTGCTATTGTTCCGATTGAACTGAGAAGTCGTTCGACGGAAGCCTGCCACCTATTTCGTGCTAACAGACAAGGTTTAGAGTTGCCGCAAGGCAGATTTTTGGTTGCTGATTTTATCAGTGATATTGCTCTTGGGAACTGAAGGGAAGTGCACAATGGGATGTGATGGTGGAACTATCCCAAGGAGGGACGAGCTGGTGAGGACGAAGAAGAAAGGGGAGCAAAAAGATAAGGACTCTGTGAGGAAATTCAAGTGGCGTCACTGCAGTATCAGCCAAAGTAGGCTGGAAAAGCCAATAGTAGCATGCGAGCTTGGAAATATCTACAGCAAGTCTTCAGTGCTGGAGGTACTGTTGGACAAGGATAGCAAGCCTGCCTCAGCTGAACACATCAAGGGATTGAAGGATGTTAAGATACTGAACCTGACTAAAAATGCAGCAGGATCTGTGCAACCATCTAAGGGTGATATGTACCTGGATACTGAAGCAGCCGAGTTTGTCTGTCCTGTGGTTGGTCTAGAAATGAATGGCAAGTACAAATTTGTGTTCCTGTGGTCCTGTGGCTGTGTGTTCTCAGAAAGAGCAGTAAGAATGGTAAAATCAGAAACATGTCACAAGTGCAACACTCCATTCACTGAAGAAGATATCATTGTTCTGAACCCAGAGGGTGATGAGCTAGACCAGATGAGAACAAAAATGGAGGCCAGGCGTGCTCGTACCAGGGCACTAAAAAAGGAAAAGCGGAAAGGCACAGATGACCCTGCCACTGCAAGTAATGAGCCTGAGGCCAAGAAGAAAAAGCCAAGCCAAGAGAAGCAGAGCAAGGTCCTTGCTGGACCCTCAATCAACTTACCCAACAATGGCAAGCTGTTGGATCCAGCATTTGCAAAGGCTGCAGCCACCTACAGTGTGGCAAAAGATGGTCAGAAGACTGAGGTATACAAGTCACTTTTTACCTCCCACAAGTCAGCCAAGATGAGGCAGACTGCTCACTGGGTGACATACAATCCTCTGTTCAACTGATAAGTCATGGGTTTCTGTAATGAAGCACCTGCTCCATGTGATTACATGTTATGTGTAATGATGGACAGATTAATTATTACTATACTGGTGTCACTTTAAAAGCAGAAGTCATTCATCCTTGGCATACCACTCTGCATTTTTGTGCATATGTTTTTCACCCAACCAGGAAATTATCTTTCTTGAACAGTGTAATGCTGATATAATGCAATAAATGATGAAAACTATTGGTATTTTGTGGATGGCATGGACTGAATGAAGCCAATCAAGCAGCTTGCTGCTGGGCATGTTTGCAGCAAACACTGCATGCATATGTCATGCCAGAAGCCTCCCAAAAGCTGGCCAACAATTTATGTGGATGTTCACCCAGTGAACATGAGTCCAGTAAGAACAGGAAGACAGGCTAAACTTGCAGATGAACACCACCAGAGTGCAAAGTCATGCAGCAAATCACATCTGCCAGTGAGTGCATACTGAATATTGCTGATTTATATGACTGGTCATGAAGAATATGATATGGACCTACACACATGATCTTATTTCCTAACTAGTGGCTTAAACAGGTGACCAAATGTATGTGCATTGCTTCCATTGCCTGTGGAGCATTTCTGTTCTGCAGTGCATGCTGCCACAAGTTCGCTAGTTTTGGTACATGGGCAGCCTGGCCAACGAACAACAAGCTTTGTGTGGGGACGAACCCGCCGCACTGCCGCGCTGTGAGGCGAGCCACCAGAGCTGCCCCCACAGCGGTGAGGACGCGGTGACGTCACGGGCGCCAGCTGACCTCGGGTGGCCGGCCGCCGGCAGGCTGGTGTCGCTGTCCCGCAGCCGGCGAGACTGTCGTAAGGCACACGCGGGCCTGCCCGTGCCGCAGCTGGTGCCGCGCAGCCGGGCCGCCAAGCGCGGCAAGGGCCAGGCCGTGGAGATGCGCTTCACATCATGCCGCGAGTGCCACGAGGAGCTCTGCCAGGTGAGGCGCACCAACTCACCGACGCGACGCCGAGGACGGCTGGAGCTCTGCCAGGTGAGGTGCACCAACTCACCGACGCGACGCCGAGGACGGCTGGAGCTCTACCAGGTGAGGCGCACCAACTCACCGACGCGACGCCGAGGACGGCTGGAGCTCTGCCAGGTGAGGCGCACCAACTCACCGACGCGACGCCGAGGACGGCTGGAGCTCTACCAGGTGAGGCGCACCAACTCACCGACGTGACGCCGAGGACGGCTGGAGCTCTACCAGGTGAGGCGCACCAACTCACCGACGCGACGCCGAGGACGGCTGGAGCTCTACCAGGTGAGGCGCACCAACTCACCGACGCGACGCCGAGGACGGCTGGAGCTCTACCAGGTGAGGCGCACCAACTCACCGACGTGACGCCGAGGACGGCTGGTGACCGGACGGGAGGACGGCGCCGAGGCGATCATGTGCGGCCTCCAGGCTGGTGAGGGGCGGCGAGGAGACCAGGGTATGGCCGGAGATCTCGTCGTGTGGTCCAGGGCCCCTGTGGTTGGTTTCTAGCGTGCGCCATGTACATCTGATGTGAACTGTCGGGGACGTCCGAGCCTCCTGCGCCCTAAACCCCAGGGAAGTCCAGGCTTCGCATCGTGATGCTCCAGACGGTGCGGGTAGAAACCTGAGCTGCCCTTGTCACCGTGCTTGAGAATGTGTGCTGTAATAGAACGCTGCCACTACCTGGCATGGCTCAGCAAGCGACGCTTGCGCTCATGGGCCTGCCATCCCAGCTGGCTAATCTTCGCCGCGCCCTCAGCCTCGACATCCGTGCCGCTGTTCTGACTCGCGGACACAACGCAGCCTCTACCGGGTGTTTGCAGACTGGCCGACCCAGTCCTCCGGCCTCAGCCTCCTCCCCGTCCGCAGGGCGCCTGCAAGGAATACAACTACGACTGTTACTCGCGACTGATTGTGGACGAGAAGGACGAGAAGCAGGACGCGGCGCAAGGTATCAGCGCCTTCATCAACGGCACGCCGGGCGCCGCCGCCGCCCGCAAGCAGAAGACGGGGGCGCGAAAACCCGGCGTACCACGCTTCCGGCGGAAACGGCGCCGGAAGCGGCGGCCCGTCGACGAGCCGGACGAGGAGACGACAGACGCAGATGCGGCACGCCGCGGCCTGGCCGCCCTGGCGCTGGAGAAGGGTGCCGCACCAGCCCTGGCGCCCCCGGCCGACTCGCAGACCCGCCTGCGATAGGGCACCGCCGGGCGGTTCGCGGTGCCACACTGAGGGCGGTCTCATAAGGACTGGGGGCCAGGCGGAGGTGGCCGGCGGGGTACAATGTGACCTCGAAGCGCGTGGGATGGCGGACGAGTACCACCCATCCAATGTGCAGTGTGTGGCGTGGTAGTAATCGTGTTACCTTGCCTGCAATGCCCGTTTCTGCACATACACTGCGAAACTGTTTCCTGTGTGCCTTTGAGAACGTGCGTTGCAGCGAAGTTTATCCTGGTGTTGCATGTCCACCGGCTGTCGGTACCAGGCGCCGCACTTAGCGAGCGGCATGGCACGACCAGGCCGTCACGTGCCGTCCGGTGTCCCCTGGGCAGACTCTGACGCAGGTACCAGCTGCAGAGCACCACCGTGAACAGCCTGTTTGTCTCACTAGCATATTAAATACCTGGTGCGGTCCAAACAAAGTGCCTTACAACTCATCACCGGCTAAATCGTGTAACCTTGGCGTCCAAGCATGACCCCTGTCAGGGCCGCTGAGGCTAGGTGGCGACCTCTGGACTGGCAACCGAACTGCGTGCGCGAGCGGGCGTCCGGGGCCCCCTAAGTCGGGTCAGTCCCCACGAGTAGCGCGGCCCCAGCACGGTTTGGTGTTGTGCTACCGTCATGAAGCTCACGCCATCGATGCGCGTGCTGAGACGAGACGACTCTCCGGAACATAATTATGACAGCTAAAAGCTTGCAGAAGCATAGTAGCCTTCCGCCGGCCTCTCGCCGTCTCTCAACATGGTAGTGGTTCCGGCAGCATGGAGCTACAAACTTGGGTCTCTAACTGGTCAAACGCCTCATTTTTTCAACAGAACGACGCCACCACCTTTCGTGCGAGGCTGTCAGAAAGTTCAGCGAGAGGCTAAACAACGCCAAACTGCTCGGATTCTCGGCGACTCGTAAAATGTGGCAACGGGCAAGCATTTATCACGTTGAAATAACCCCGAGGTTCCCAACGACTTTCATCTTTCCTTTTCGTGTTGGTCGTGCGGTGCCAGTTCGTGAGCGGTCGAGTGGCGACGCGATTGGCCGTCTTTGTGGCCGGCCGTCCCCGTCTGCTGCGGCTCGGTATCGTGCCGGGCTGCGGCGGGGGGGGGGGGGGGGGGGGGGCGCCCCCAGGAGGGGTGCGTGACCCGTCCACGCGGCCGCCAGATTGTTTCCGTGATGTCGCTGCCAGCCCCGGGACGCGGACCGTGACGGGGCGCGTCACAAACACGACCTGTGACGGGGCGTGTTACAAACATGGAGCTCCGCCCGCGGCCCACATGATCGTGACAACTACAGGGTTGATTACTGGCGAACGTGTCCCAGGACACCGGCGTGAGGTGCCTCCACGAAATCGGCGATTGCGGACTGACGATATGCATCGCCTGTGCAGCAGCCACAACCAAGGCATACCGACGACCTCCCAGAGAAGCGTCGAACACCGATTCATTTAAGCTCTCGGGTCTCCTTGCTAACAATGTAGGCTAATAATTGTCTAATAATGTCGTCCGTCACGTTGATATCTTCACTGCGAAATCCACACCTCTACAGATGTCCGTATCCGCATCAGATGCTGTATTTGTCTCGCGTGGTACATACAGAAAGCGTGTCAGCACGCCAACACGGGTTGCGCGGGGAGGACGGGCGGTGTTGAGGTGTCCGGACGCGCCCGGCAGTACCGCGGCTCTCGCGGCGGGGCGCCGTGACCAGGGCCGGACGGCGGCGACGTCCCGGGGCGGCGCCACACCCACCCTGCAACAGGGACGCACAGACAGCGACGCCGGACCGACCCGGCCAGCCGCCGGCGCCAGCTCGCCGGCTGAGGTCGGCTGACGTGCGGCGGCTGACATCCCAGCGTCACGAGAGGCTCGGCGCCAGCTCGCCAGCCGAGGCGGGCTGACGCGCGGCGGCTGACGTCTCGGCGTCACGAGCGGCTCGGCGCCAGCGCGATGGCGACCGCCTGCTGGGCTGAGCATCGCCACGCGCGCGCTCGCGGCGGCTGAAACATGGGCTAACTGCCCCGCCCCCCCCCCCCCCCCCCGACGTCAGGCGTGGCGTCGGCGCCCGCCTATCAGCGGTGGCGGCGCACCACCGCTGGTGACGCAAGTACGCAAAACCCAAGCAAGGACAAGGCATGGGACGTCTCCACAGCCGGGTCAGGCCTTGCACTAAAGAACCCAGGCTCATGACGTCACCTTGCGCCCGAGGAACTGCGAGAGCGCGCCAACCGCGCATTGCGCTGTTTGGTGTGACCGAAGTGAGCGTTGCGATATTATTTACGGATAAGTCTCAGGCAGTTTGCATAGTGGGCCTGGATGGATGAACACTCATTATTGGCATGTTAGAACCAGTGGGTGATGGGCTGTTAGGCTTCACTGTCTTCCATTCCTAAAGATTCAAATGCAACTCTACTGAAACACTGAACTTTATGACAATAATACTAGGTTCTGGCTTCGTTCTGTAGATCTGCTAAAAGGAGCATGGCATCTTCTGATCTACGTGTAAACCTTTAAACCTATATATATTAGTCAGATTATGGTCACCGGTCAGAATATTCAAAGGCTTGGCGATATTGCGATGCGTTCGAAACTTATTCTCAGCCATACCGTTTCAGGCGGTCCTAATGCACAATAGTATTTTGTCATAGACATTGGACTGCAACGCCAAATAATAAAAACGTTGACAAGATTACAGATGACGTCGGCATGCTATACCAAATGTTTGCTTTAACAAATGTTTCCCCGTCTGCCTATGCCCTGGGGCGTCTATGGTGACAATCGCGCCCGTATCCGTCCGTCCCGGGTCAATGTTCGCGTCCGAGCCCGGGTCGGTGAATGCGCTTGTCGCGGTGAGTGAGCGTCCGCGCCAGAGCCGCAGTCGGGGGCGCGTGCCCGCGTCTGGCCGGCGCCTGGTACGCATCGCCGGCCCGCTGCGTTATTCATGTCTCGGCCGGCTGCCGCGCCGGCTGGCGGAGCGGGAGGCAGGGCGCGGCCGACCCTCGGCCATGCTGACCAGACCTGACGGCGGCGGCCGCAGCTATGTCCGCACGCCTGACCGCCGAGCCGACGCCGGCCCGGTCGAGCGCGTGACCTCGGGTCAGGGCGCGGCACCGCTGTCGGCGGGCGGCGGCGCTGCGAGTCCGCGTCGGGCCGAGCCGGCTCGGGCGCCGACTCAGCCACACCTGAAACGAACGGCGAAACAGCAAGACTGGTGTTCAGCGGCCTCCTGAACGAGGACGGGGCGGAAAACGGAACGGGTGCCGGAGAGGGGTCTGGAAAAGCTGGGGCGCTCTGTAGACAGGGCAAAGGCGGAGGAGCTGGGGGCGGACGGGGAAGGCACCAGGACCGGTGACTGCAAGGACAGATCGGGAGAGGAACAGCTAAGGAAGGCGTAATCAGGGAAATGAAAAGACATGTGCTGTGTGTCTGTGGAATGATAGACGGAAAGCATATGTCATCTCAACGCTTGCCCCGTTTTATCGGAGCAAAATACGGCAAACTCCCGTAGTCCACCTGGAAGCGCGTTCTCCAGTTGAGACTCCCAGCAATACACTTTGGTAACCACCGCTGGCTCATGCATAGCAACGTAAGCGAGATGCACAATTTTCCGCAACGGGCTTATCGCCGGCAGTAACCCGACAGAGTTTGGGCGTGAGTTCTTCCTTTAACAATAACCGGCACACAACTAGCATCGTGCACCACCTGAAACAGCCGCCGGGCATCGGAACCGACTGCGGGTGCAGCCAGACAGCCGAAAACCAGGCGTCACTGAAGGCACAAGCCAACGGCGGTTACCAGACACCGTTCGAATACCGTCCGGGTGCGCCTCCTGTCCCTCTGCTCACGCTCTCTGCCTCCGGCCGGCCGCTCTGTCTCTGTGTGTGCGTGTGTGCGCGCCGTAGCGCACGTAACTTAGACTGCGACCTGGCGGCGGGGGTGTGGCGACGGTGGGCGGCGGCGGCGGCCGGACCTCGCCGCGACCATCGGCTCCGGCGCTGCGTGGCGCGCGCTAGCGAGGCCGGGAAACGTGTTAGAGTGCGGAGGTGGTCGCCTCACACACCGGACGGTCAGCGCATGTATTGACACAGGACGTGCGGCGCCGGGAGGTACAGACGCGCCGGCGGCCGGCGGCCGGCGCCGCCATGGCACGGGCAGGGGGTGGCGCCCAGCCAGCCGGCTACGGGGCTCCGAGGACAGTCAAGCCGCGTCAGTATCTATCTTATCTCCATCGCCGACGTTTCTCGGTCACAACACGGGGACGCGACTGAACGACTCTGCAGCCGTAGATGATGGCGACATACACTAGCGTAAACCGATCAGAAACACGCCCTCATTGCAAGAGGTGCAGAGTAAGCGGACTTGCTTGATTTAGCAAAAGGAAACTGCCCTTGTGGTTTCATGAACACTATGACACATCTTAACAACTAGTCGAACACTCAAAATTTGGGACATCACGCCCGCATCTTTACTAATACAGGCGAAACACACAGCAGTCCCACAGCAGCAAGCGGCGGTGTGTGTCCGTGTGTCTGTGTACCATTGTATACCTTCGCACCACTCTACAACCGCACGTCGCTCAGACGACGCGTCCGGCACCTGCGCGCAGAGAGAGGGCGGACTTCGGTCAGTGGGCCACACAGCGCAGCGAGCGGCACGCATCAGTCGACGCCCCTCCCCCCCCCCCCGACCCACACACACACAAGGCCGAGAGACGGCCAGGCTAGAAGCTCTCCTGCACAAAGGCGTGCCGGAGAGCCTCCGACGGCGAGATCCGCTTGCTGGAGTCCATCATCAGCGCCCGCTCCAGCAGCTCGCGCAGCTGGTGCACCTGCAACAGTCCCGGCCGGTTACCGCGCCGGCAACTGCAGCCGGTGCCAGCGGCCCGCCACCGGGGCCACCGGAGCCGCCGGAGCCGCTGGAGCCGCCGGAGCCGCCGAGGCCTCCAGGTGCCGCGCCGCCCGCGGCCCAGACCAGGCCGACCCAAATCTGCTCCCCGCTGACAGGCTAAGCGGTTCTCAGGGCCAACCGCGAGGGGTGACTTATAATGTGCTGAAAGGTGTCTCAATCCTCCAGTTTCTTTTTCTGGCCCAATGTTAGATCACTCAGCAAGTTCCAATCGCTTTTTCCTGCTCATAGCCACAATTCTGCCGGCCAATATTACAATTTCTTACACATTTAAATAATTCAGGACACGTTCACAGAATATCCCAGTCATTAACTGCTTTACCTTTGAGGATAGCAGAAACGCACACAACTTGGCTAAACGCAGCAGGCTGAAAATCGTTCTGCAGTTAATTTCCGTTAAATGTTGCTGATTGCAGGACAATTTTGCCGGGCAGAGATTCAACCTTATTCGGCCGCAACGTCTAGTGTCGCACGTCAGCCAATGGCCCGCGAGCGCAGCCGTTGCGGCTATTGTGCGTAGCATTAATCGACCGACCGGCCACTGACACGTGAAAGGACCTCGCAACATCTGACGACGGCTGAAGAATCAACGAGCCCAGACGTGGTGTGGGCACTAAAACACCAGAGGAGGACGGCGGTCCGAACACTTACTCCACCGGAAGCATTCCGTGAAACTGCTAAACCCTGTTCCAAGTCCCGTTAAAACCGTAAAACTCCTTCCTTTTTTGAGACTGGTTCTGGCGGCTCTCCCCTCAGACGGGGCGCGTGACGGCCGGATATATGAGCAGCACGCGTCCAGCTTTACACTACTGTAGCGTGATCTGGCCGGGGGTGGCCAATTCCCACGCAGTACGGGCCGATAACGCGTGGTGGCATCCCTCCTTTGGCTTCTGAACCCTGTATGCACGCCCGCGCATGTCCGCTCGCTTTCGCATTAAGATCCCTTGCGTCGCTGCAAACATCCCTCCTTAGCTTTGCGGCGGGTGCAGCATGATCTTCCCATCCACCAGGAGCATTCTTCCAGCAAAATAGTATTCTCATTTACTACGTCCTGCCGGCCTCCGCAACTGCCTCCTCGATCCATCAGCACGCAGAGATGTTTGGCGTACCCCAAGCGCGGATACGTCACGTACAGGCAGGTCGTTTCTACATCTGACAAAGCAGATGAAGCGTTTTTGTGTGGAAGTTTCCAGGAATCGTATTTATATTTGATGATATTGGTACTTATGGTGATAAAAACGAAGTCACCATTTTCAACGTCATTCAAACCATACGGCGCTAACGGCACCGCACAGGTGTGAGGAAACGAATCCCTTGTGTTTTTTTTTCTTCTGTGATCTTCATCGTTTCAAACCTCAAGTTCTATTGCGTACGCTGCCTCGGAACCCAAGGCTCAGGCTATCGCTATTTCTCGCTTCATCCCTCCGTGTCGCTGGGGCGATAACGCGGCTACTATTTCCCAGCCGAAACGCGATGCGGTTAGTCCACCTACGCACTATAACATGAATGAAGTAAGCCGCCTGGGTTTAGAGCACACACAGCTCAATGAAGTGGCAGCCCTAGAGCTGCCACTGCCTGGCCACCGGCCATCTCCAGAAGCAAGAAAGCCCTCCCTGCTAGTGCACGCCAGCGACATCTCATGACCGACCTCTGGCTGCATCACGACAGGTCGCGCAGCAGGCACAGCACCGCACGCCCCCCGCCCCCTTCGCGAGTGACCTACCTTCTTCAGATGGTCGGCAGATAGGTTTTGTACACCGACCAGCTCTTGAAGCAGATCTCTGGTTGGAGGAATAGAAGACATGACTATCGTCTTCTCCTGCAGCACAGACGAAGTGTGGTTTCGGTCGCACACCAACGTATCTACATACCCGTAACTATGCCGTGTAGCGAACATCACAGTCCGACATATCCAGACACCCGAAACTAACTAGCTCTGAAACCACCCGCAACACGTATCTCTGAGCATGGAAAACATGGCTTATGGCATCGTTAACTCATTTTCAGGCCTACTTTAAACAAACGAAATACAGCCCCACACTTTTAAACTACACCGTATACGTGTACGGGTCAGGAACGATCCAATATTCCGTCTGATTTTAATTCGCAAGCGACTCGCAACCGATCATTATCGGAATATAGAATATAGAATGTAAATCAGACAGAACGATTTCATGGCATATGAGTTCGTGGTTTCATCTGATGACGCTGGGCCATATCCACAGCCACAGGTTCCCACTGACCCGCTCGGTGATCTTGTCCACCTCCTGACAGAGGAAGTTACAGTTGGCGTCAAAGTGCTGCTCCCTAAACTGGCCCTTCCTCACGATCTTGTTCGGGATCTTCCCCTTCAGGTCCATAAAGAACTTCAGCATCTGTGGTGAGGAGCCGGAGCGTCACGCAGGCGCGCGGCGGCCCGGCCGGCGTGCCGGGCGTCGGGGCGGAGAGCGCCGCCCGCAGTCAGCGTCACGGCCGGCGGGGCGGCCTGGCGTGGCAGGTGAGGGACCACGGCCAGAAGCAGCGGACACCCGGGCCCCACCGACAGACGGCGCGTCTCGTCCGACCCGCGGCGATCCGTCGGCCGGACGTCACCAGCTCAACACGTCAGCCAGCTCATCCGACCCGCTGTGACCCCTTCACCGCGTGCACCGTGCACTCAGTGCCTTCCAGCCACTCAGACACCTCGAGCTAGATGACACCGATGCCGACTCTGTACTCTGTGTCTGCTTGTATCTGACACTCATCAATGCCACCTCCGGTGGGCATCACGTGAAGGGTTTCCGTCTCAGGAAACATTCCAGAAAGACTCCCCGGTGTGCCATTCAAACCGAAAGACGGAAAACACACGAAGGTACGAGAACTAGTAACCGTGCACAGTACTAAACAAAAGACGGGAGCAGTGCTGGGAACATCGGCAAACGGCTAAAGATCACTTTTCACCTTGAATACCACAGAGCATCAGTTATCACCAGATAGACAATCTTACCTTCACCGGACGAGGGCCCATCACAGCCCTCCCCCCCCCCCCCACGCTACCTCGAAAATTGAGCATGCTGGAGCCAAGAAGGAGCGATATAGAATGGCTTGCGTAAAACAGCATCATAGAACCGTCACTGGACATCAGCAGAATAACCTTTTAAGAGTCATGCAATGGCACGGTATCGTAAGAATATAAACAAATTCTGTCTTCAGAACTGTGTGCCATGCCAATAAAAAACGGTGTCGCGTGGCCCTTGACACACCACGTCATACACCATCAACTGATGAGAGAATGACTGGAGTGCCCTGCAGCATGTCAAGTCAGGTCAAACTGTTCAAACGTCTGTATACATGTCCGAACCAGTAATCTCGCCAGCTAAGCACACCACGCAGTATTACATAAACTTATACATATACTTTGTAAATAATGGCAGCGCACATACTTCGTACATGATGCTCATAATGGGCATAATTCATGAAGCTCTCAAACCTCTGAGGCCCGCCCGCCGCCCGTCAGGCGCGGGTTAGTAAGCGATGTCACATTCGAAGCCGTGGCGCCTTGCTGTACGCCTTCCTGTGCGGAAACGAGGGCAACAATGATTGGATATTAGTCAACGCCACAGGTCATTTATAACCCGGAATAAGCAAACATATCACGTGGATCATTACCAAGACTTGGTCTTCCCAGAAAGCTATTTGATTCCTACTCTCCTACAAAAAAAAACAATTGTATTTAAGTTGTTTCTCAAACGACAGTCCCAATTGCCTAGAATAAATTGAGCTTTGTGCGCGGACGCAACGCTACGAAATCACGCAGGCTGTGTGCCAGAGCTTTCTTTAAAAGTGATGACCCATTTTGTCGTAACACCTTCGTATTTGTATAAGATTGCTTTTTTTCCTTGACATCCAATTCCCCGACATCCAATGTACGTCTCTTGGCTCCGGGGTGACGGAGCACTGGTCCCCATGCCCCCCCCCCCCTCTGTCTACGTGCCTGGACGAACGCACTGCCGTAATGGAGACACCAGTTGGTATGCGTCTCCAGCCGGGTCCGTGTTACGGCCGAAACTTTCCAGAACTGTTGCGAGGCAAAGGAGAAAAAAAAACTTCTGGAGCATCTCGCTAGTGTACTCGCGAATCTCTACACATTTGCCTCAAAAGGGAAGCATATGCAGGCCCATCTATCAAACGCAAATGCTCAGAAATAAGGTAGATATGCACTTACGGGAGCATATATAGCTTAAACACGATCTTCGTGCACGTAGCCACTTCAAAGACAGACCCGGGAATACTCGAAACGTGTAATAAAAGGCGTTGAACATGGTGGTACGCCATTCCACGCTTAAGTTTGGCAGTCGGCGCATGTAACAGGATTACAATAACGTACACTTCCAAGATTTGTGTATGTCATCACGTGTTAATGAGCGCGGTCCAACCAAAATGAATGCAAAAAAAAAATGAAAGGATAGAGCGGACGCTGGGACGAGCGGCCTTCAGCATGAATAAGGTACATAACCGTTGCCTCACTGAAAGCTAGTGCGGCCATCAGGAACCGTTCTCAATTACGTTACGCGTGGAGGGGCCAGGGCTGATGTATCGTAACCGCAGCGTACCAAGGAAATGGACGCTGCATGACCTACAGCAGTCGATACGCCCCAAAACCCCAAATCATCACCATCATCAACAAAAAAAAGTGTATTAAGGATAACGTAACATTATGCTCATGTGTGTATGCAAATTATGCCCAGATTTGTAGAGAAACAACTTCCTTGAGGTTTAGACCAAACCGTTTGACAGGACGAACATCTGGGCTCAGATCCACGCTGCGCGGCGCTTATTACATGAGCCCTGACCCTCCCCATTCGATCATGACATCCCAAGTCAACGACAGAATTTGGCAACGAAATGCTCGGCACGGCCATAATGCCGTAGTACCCCCCCCCCCCCTTCCAAAGTCGATTCCACTCTCCGTTTTCACTTGACCTTTAAGCAGGGTCGTTGCCGATTACATGACAAAACACCATGTCAATACATGTAGCCAATACATCAAGCCACGACGCATCCACGCACAAAATGCTCATCACAAAATACTGAAACACGAATCGTGGGAGTCACTGTCTAAAACCGCTTGGGGGACTCAGCCGAAAAAGTTTACCTAAACTCGCCCAACAACCTGATTACTCCCCGGATTTCAGCCACCTGATCTTGCGTAGTCAACGTCAAAGTAAAAAAAAAAATGTTTTGATATTTCGTACGTGGAGCCTACTTCCGTGCAAAAGCATGACTCACCATTTCAAGTGAATAAAAACTGCCTTTTTGTGAAAAGCTTCGAATGGGGTGACATTCATAAAAAGCATCTTGTAAATCTTAGTAAGAGATCACTGATGACTTACAATGTTGGGGAAAACATGCGGTTTTACAAACTCTTCTATGGGCCACCCCGTACTTTTAAAAGCTGTCGTATATTGTCGTAAACTGTTCTTTATCCCAACTGAGGTGTTACCATTTGCAAATAATTAAACATTTGCGGACTGGCTTGAAGAGCGCGCTCCACATTTATGTGAGGTTTTAACCCGAAATAGCCGTTTTGAAGACCATTGGGTACAGAACACAGCCTTGCCCTTCTTAAGGCCTAAACTTTCTAATTTCTGAGCTACACACCCGCGAAAATGTGCAGACGTTTTTGTGTAGCAAACGCTATCAAGGTCACACAAGACATCCACAACGTCATTATGGCGTCATTGAAATCCTGCCACCTCACTGGTCATGTGGTGATCGACGCCAATAAAAGCACGACTGTCAATTCGTTTACATATGTACTTCGTGCGCAAAACTTCCAGATATTACGGTCGTCAATTTGCTCGCAATCAATGCTGTGCAAGGTGCGATGACGCAGTCACACAATGGCGCAATGAGGGGCATACTCACTTGACAGATAAATACCGCATACAACAGTCTTTTACAACTCCAAACATATAAAAATTTCTCAGTGAGCTTATTCCATAATGTATGACGCTTGCTTCAATATCTTCAAATGTGGAAAACCCCTTTAATCAGGACGATTAATACGTCTCAACCCGAAGGGGTTTCGGCTGAAAGAGCCGATGGCAGCGCTTTAACGGCGCATAGCAGTAAGCCGCAGTGTTGCGCCAATATCTCCTACGATTCCCAAACTGCGCAGTTGCGCGACCGGGCATCGTTGTAGGGGCGCGCTTGCCACTTTGTCTCGTTAATGTGTGGCCCGTTATCTGTGTGCTCCGCGCATCGGCACGTAACGTGTCAATTGCAAAGCAAGCAGTGAACTGCAGAAATTTTTGCGCCAGGTTCGGAGCTTGTGACAAAGTTGAAGTTTTCTGGACCACCATTTAGCCTAGGGCAGCGCCGCAAGCCACCATGGGATGTGATGGTGGAACAATTCCAAGGAGGGACGAGCTGGTGAGGACGAAGAAGAAAGGGGAGCAAAAAGATAAGGATTCTGTGAGGAAATTTAAGTGGCGTCACTGCAGTATCAGCCAAAGTAGGCTAGAAAAGCCAATAGTAGCATGTGAGCTCGGAAATATCTACAGCAAGTCTTCAGTACTGGAGGTGCTTTTGGACAAGGATAGCAAACCTGCTTCAGCTGAACACATCAAGGGATTGAAGGATGTTAAGGTACTGAACCTGACTAAAAATTCAGCAGGATCTATGCAACCATCTAAAGGTGACATGTACCTTGATACTGAAGCAGCTGAGTTCGTCTGTCCTGTGGTTGGTCTAGAGATGAATGGCAAGTACAAATTTGTGTTCTTGTGGTCCTGTGGCTGTGTCTTCTCAGAAAGAGCAGTAAGAATGGTAAAATCAGAAACATGTCACAAGTGCAACACTCCCTTCAGTGAAGAAGATATCATTGTTCTGAACCCAGAGGATAATGACCTTGACCAGATGAGAACAAAAATGGAGGCACGCAGAGCCCAACTGAAAGTACTCAAGAAGGAAAAACGGAAGGTGGCAGATGAGACTGTTGCTGTGAACAACGGGCTTGAGGCCAAGAAGAAGAAAACAGATATGGAGAAACAGGCCAAGGTTTCTGCTGGGCCATCTATCAACATGCCAAACAATGGCAAGCTGTTGGATCCAGCATTTGCAAAGGCTGCAGCCACCTACAGTGTAGCAAAGGACAGCCAAAAGACTGAGGTGTACAAGTCCCTCTTTACCAGTCATAAGTCAGCCAAGACAAGAGAGACAGCCCACTGGGTGACATACAACCCTCTTTTTAACTGATGAAAATGCAGTGTTCATGCTTTTTGTACATGCAGCTTCAAGGTAATAGCACATTTTTGAAACAAAAGATAATATGTTATCATCAGGCTGATCTGCTAGTAATCTACAGCCTGCTTAGAATCTGCAGCCTGGTCCCTTAAGCAGGAAAAGTATCTTGATGGAAATCATGACCTCTGCATGTGAATATTATAAGTCATTCCAGGTTAATGATACTGACATGGTGTAAGATTTTGTAATACATGGTGAATATATGATTTGTGTTACTGGAAGTGATGGTTGCTTATGAGAAAGAAAATAAATGTCAAGAAAAAAGGTAGTCATTGACACTTTGCATCACAGAAACTTGCGGCCATCATATGAAAACGAACTGAAACTAACTGATACACCACTAACATGTTCCCGAATGGTTTGAACACAGCACATGATCATGTCGCGAAAGATCCAATGCTTGGTGATCGGAATATTGTTGATGAGATGAATAAGCCAGCTGCGGATAATCATGCACGCAAGCATATTATTCTGCCATAATTGACAAAAGCTTCTAAATGTTCCCAAGAGCCCCATTTACATTTTGCAGATGCTGGATTATCATGCTTAGCTAAGTGGTGGTGACCAAAGCAATTAAGCAATGACCAGGGACCAGCATTGCATACAATATTGGAACTTGTTAACCAAATTGCATACAATACTGGAACTTGTTCACCCTGCCAGGCATAGGAAAGCTGATAGTGGTTGTTGAAAACTAATCAGTGGTACCAGGAAATTGGAAGGCGCGCTATGCACATGTTGAGGTACAACATTATACATGTCTTCAATACCACACATTTGGATTGGCTTGAAAGAAAACAAGCAACAGTAAGCCTCATGCTGCATTACCTCATGCTGCAGTAAGCCTCAAGCAACAGTAAGCAACAGGGCTGCACACAAATGTCCTGCTGCACAGGTGCCCAATTATAACACCTACAAAAATGTTTCCTTTATGCTGCATGGAATGCCCCAGTGACCACCCACAAGTAACATAAGACAGTCTTTCACGAAACGGTGGCTTCAAAACGAGTCCGACGACTATTAGCTGTTCTTGCTTTGGGTTTCAGGGCACCACAATTACTGCTCCATTAGTCAGCTCCCGTGACTGTTAAGGACAAGGAGTCTTTACGAGCACTTCTGGGTACACTTCCCGCACGTCATAGCAGCGGACCACACACCAAACACCCGAACAACGCGGCGCACGCGACGCGTCGGCTCCAGACCGGTTCAGTCCACGCCGCTCGCTGCCCCCTGTGACGCGGCCCCTCCGTCCTGCGCCGCCCACCGGCGCCGCGCGCGCCCCCTCACCTGGTTGTTGGTCTTGCCGGCGAACATGATGCGGCCCGTGTAGAGCTCGTACAGCGTGCAGGCCGTGGACCAGGTGTCGACGCCGAAATCGTAGCGCAGACCCAGGATGATCTCGGGCCCGCGGTAAAAGCGCGACACCAGGTAAGGCGTCACCTCGTTGTCGGCGACGTTGCTGGCCGAGCCGAAGTCGCACAGCTTCAGCACCAGCTTGTTCTCGTTGACCTGGCGGCGGCGGCAGCGGTGGCGTCACATAAGCACGGCCGGAGATGAGGCGGCATGGCGGCGGACGGCGCGGCGGGAGCAGCTTCCCGCCGCTGGCAATCACTGCTACAACATGGCCCGGCTGCACTTCGCAGCTGGCCAGACTACGGCTCACGTCAGTGGCAACGACACTTGAGACGGGTTTCGCCATCACGAGGAGACAAGGTCACTTCGTGGGACAAGTACAAGATAGAGAACTACATGTGGGTAACAACGTAACCGTGGGGAGGGGATACCTGTGCCCAAATAGGTCGCATCCGATCCAGTCTTTCAGAAGAAACAAGGTAGCGATCTAATAATATTCAACACGTGGCGAAGAAGACACGGTCGTGTGTTCGGGACATGCAAATCAAACAGATCAGAAGCGTCGCAGACTACAATCAGAAGGTTCAATGCTTGTGTATTGAAGTGCCCACGAACAATAAATTGATTTACAGATCACATCGTCTTCTCCCATGACAACGAGGCGAACAGGTGGTTTCCGTTTTTAGCCGCTCACTGCCAACTGCACAATCGTGACTGTGTCCATTAGCAAGCAGGGCAAGGATGATCAGCACGGCGTGTCATAACGCCACTTGCGGCTAGTCCGGTTCCACTACAGACCCCATACCAGGATGTTGTCGGGTTTGATGTCGGCGTGCAGGATGCTACACTTTCTGAGCAGGCGCAGCGCCAGGAACATCTGCTGCGTGTAGGAACGCACCGCCTTCATGTGCAGGCCGATCTCCTTGCCATTCTGCTTGCCGTATTTCTTCAGAATCTGCGGTAGGGGGCGAGGGATTTTAAAAGTAACTTGTTGGTATGGAGACCAGATGGACCCAACCGCAAGGCTAGTGTGAACATAGCTGACCCGAGGCACAAATATCTCCTGCCTCTCCAGGCGGTCGCTTACGCATAGCTTAACATCGAAAATACAACTATCAGCCTCGGCAAGGCGTTGTAGAACTCGGGCAGTGACCTCAACAGAACGTTCAATGCACTTCATGAACACAATCGAAAAACACGATGGGAAAGCGCTGAACGCCGCGGAACGCCAAATGGAGCAGTAAGAACGCACGGTAGAACCAAAATCAGCCACGGCGAGACAGGCGAACGCCAAAGGACAAGGGAGGGGAGGGGGCAGAGAAGGGGGGGGGGGCGGCAGCGCCGCTGAGCTCACCTCCCGCAGGTTCATGGACAGCGGCTCGAACACCATGCACAGGTGAGACTTGTGGAAGAAGTGGCGGAACAGCCGCAGGCAGTGGTAGCGGTCGTCGGCGTCGGCGTCGTTCAGCTTCTTCAGCGTCTCCAGCTCCTTCAGGCCGGTTTTATGCCTGAGGAACGCACGCATGCCCAGGGTCAGGCACCGCGGAACGTGCGGCTTCAAATAGCAAGGATCGCGCAGATTTGACTGCTGCAATGAGCTGTCACATGTGCTGACGTCCCAACTGCTCAAGAGACAGTGCGAACGCCACAGCAGAACAAAAACAGCCGTGCAGCCCGGTCTGGCCGTCAATACGAGATACAAGGCAAGCGCACGGACCAGCAGGAAGTCGAATGACAAAAGCCGCCATTTCGTCAACTTCGGGGCGTGCTTTCAACTCCACACGCCGGCCGTGGACCGGGGCAGAAATGCCGCCTGATCAGCCACTCACATGATCTCGTTGTTCCTGATGATCTTGACGGCCACCTCCTGGTTGCCGCGCGCCTGGTCCCTGGCCCGCACCACGTTGGAGAAGACGCCCTGGCCGGTGTAGCCGTACACGGCGTAC